CGCGGCCGCCGGCGCCGACGTATTTGCCTGGTGGTTCACGAAGCGGTCCCGACAAAAGGAAAAAAGAGAAGAGGAAAGATCCATCGGGACGCCGGCCTCCGCGTCCATCGCCTTTGGCGTCCATCAAGGAGGGCGGGGTGGGAGGCGCGCGCACGCACTCGGAGCCGGCCGAGGACTCTTGCTGCCGCATGTCGCCACGGTCCGAAGGGGGAAGGGAAAGGGTGGGAAATGATAGGCGTGCGGCCTCGGGAAGAAAAGGAAAACGGAGGGGTCTTGGCTGGGCGTATCGGGAGGGGGGCTTATTAGCATGGACGAAGTGGTGGCGGGCTATTTCTACACCGGGTTTTGGTCTTGGCGTCATGTCTGCCACTGTCACATTTCCGTGTTTGATAGAGATGAGAGGTGAAAAAAAGGTAGAGAGACAAAAAAAGCAAGTGAAGCGGGTGTGTGGTAATGAAAGAAAAAGAAGGCAGATCTCGACCCCCTGGCGTCATCGGACCCGTGGCAGCAGCAGAAGACATGTTACACTGCCGGGGGGCAGGCAGGCTTTGCAAGGGGGGCGAGACGGTGTTTTCCGGCGAGGCGAACCTGGCCTCGGGGCGAACCACAGAGGATGCCGTGCCTTGTCTGGGCAGGCGTTTAACATACCGAGCACATTTGTGACGCCTGCTGCCAGTTGCGCTTCCGAGACGGGTTTAATTTTCCCGCCCCAGCGAGTTTGAGGATTTGTGAGAGAGAGAAGCGGTGCCTCTCGCACATAAAGCATGCTTGGATTTTGGCCATGTACCTGAGTATCAGTGGTATTAGAAACAAGCGACAGGCAGAAACAGATCATACGACCATACCCACTGAAATATACGGGATCCCGTCCGCTCTCCCCTAGTCAAACCAGTGAGGGCTGGCTTGATACCAGAGAGAGATTGGATCCCAAACAGCTGGCCAATGGTAGTTTTGGTTACAGGTTGATTGTTGTCATGGCAGTAAGGCTCAAGTCACCATGCCCACCAGCCACCCAAAAAAAACGAGTTGTCAGCCGCACGCTAACGCACCGAGATGGGCAATGAAGAGGCTGATTACAGTCCACCATAGGGCTGCCCGTTCGTGCCGCGCAGGGGTTTAGACAGCCGAGCGAACATGCTCACTGGCCGCTCAACGAACCAGTCGGCGGGCGGGTTGATGCGGGCGCAAAGTGCATGTTCGCACCTGACCCCACCACTTTGGAGACTACCCCGTCCCTCCCCGAGTTTCCTTTCAAGCGTGGACCATATACCTCAGGGGTTGGCCTCTACCGACAGTTGACTTTCCATCACTCCTTTTAGCGGACAACACAGGACATATTTCACCATGTCAATGTCCATGTCTGGCCTGAACAGGCGCCGCCAGGCGCCACCTCAGGCGTTCGAAAGCACACCAGCCACCCTGCCGGACGACCCCGAAGATATCCGAGCCAAGTCGAAGAAGGACGAGGCCGGGGAGGGAAAATATACGCTCCTTTCCTGCCTCGCGTGCGCGCAGCACTGCCGTGTCGACCTCACCGGCTTCTCGTGGGTCAACGCGCAGGGCACGCTGGGACGCGGCGGCCAAGGGGTGGTGGCGCAGACGCGCGCGAGCCTCGACACCGTCTTCGCCTTCAAGCGGCGCCGGCCGCCTGGCCAGGGCCGGTCGGCCAGGGACCATGCGTTCCGCGAGATATGCTCCGAGATCATGGCGCTGGGCCACGAGGACCTGCGCCGGCACGAGAACATCGTCCAGCTCATCGCCATCAGCTGGGAGATTGAAAACGTCACGGACTGGAAGTTCAAACGGGACGTCGTCATCTGGCCCGTCATGATACTGGAGAAGGCAGAGCTTGGCGACCTGGGGCATTTTCTGCGCGGCAAGGGCGTCGAGACGGAATTGGCGACGAGATTGCGCATTTGCGCTGGGATTGCGTCTGCACTCGCTGTTGTGCACAGGAACGGTAAGCTCTATTTGGGTTCCCCCTTTCACACTTGGCCCCTGAGGCGAAGACGAGACTGACAGTTTCACGTCCAAGGTATCATTCACGGCGACATCAAGCCGGGCAATGCGCTCGTCTTCGCCGGGGGCGTTGTGAAGCTGTCCGACTTTGGCTTCTCGGCTCTGGCGTCTGACAAGCTGTTCGATCTCGGCGGCACATACCCCTGGCGCGCTCCAGAGCTCACCTTCCTCGACGGCGCCACTCACGAAGAGGCGAAGTTGACGGACCTCTACTCCTTCGGCATGCTGTGCTTATGGGTTATATTTAGAAACAAACTTGCCAAGATGGGGGAGGAGGCAATACCACCGTCTCCTGTGCGCAGATCATCAAGCTCGCTGCTCGGCGGGCTTAGCAGTGCCCTGAGTCGGTTCTCAACCGGACGGTCCAGCACTGTCGCTCCCGCGTCGCCTGATCTAGAGCATCTAAAGTTGTCCAACACCCCCGATAAGCTGACCAACAAAATGCCTGAGCTAGCGCGGGATCTCGTGGAGGGACTGCTCATGGAGGGGCTACCCAAGGACAAGGTTCGGGATTTGAGGGAGTTGTTTGCAAGGCTATTGTCATTCACGCCCAGCTCCCGCACTTCCCAAGACACAGCAACGGATTTTGGGCAGATCTCCCAGAGTCTACTCGACATCAGGTAGGAATCAGCAGCCTGGTACTGTGGCTCCTAGAAGTCCTGTTAACGAGTCTGGAATCTCAAGTTCCAACGACGAGACTAAGCCCATCAAGAGCATCGATGCACCCCAAAAAGGCAACCCACCCACCCCTGGAGCATTTCCCAGGGCGAAGGAGTTTCAGGCAAGATCGCAGGCATCATCTTGGCGGGGCCCTACAGCCAACGATAAAATGCTAACGGCTTGCTCGACCAGGTGTCCAACTCGCTAGAGAGCCTCTGCCACGCCGACTTCCGCGTACGGAAGCATATATTCGACTGCCTTCTTCTACAGTACAAAGAAGCCAAAGACGATGATGGTACCAAGGCTATGGCCGCGGTCCAGCTTGCGTTCTGCAAGGAGGTGGGCTTTGGCGCCGTGAAGCACAGCGCGACCGCCAATGCCTACGGGAAAGTGGGACGGATCGAGGCCATACAGCTCCAGAACATGATAGATGCGACGCGTACTAGGCAGGAGCCGTTCAATGCCAGACTCCGAGCTCTGTGTGCTAGCGGCATCATCCAGCCCATACACTACGGGACCGACTTCCGCTCCGTGGCGGACCCCGATGTGCTGGAGGAGATGCAGAAATCTCGCGAAGCAGAGATCGAGTGGATGGAAACGACACTGGGGAAGACACACCCAGCCATCTTGAATCTCAAATGGTCCCTCACCACCCTGCTGATGGAGAGCGAGAGCCAACTGGGCCCCATCAAGTACCTTCATAAGATGATGCAGGAGTTGAACGCGGACCCGAAACGTGGCCCCATGCACCGCGACTCCCTCATCACACGCGTTTACTTCTGCGTCTCGCTCGACCGCCTCATGGACCCCAGCACCGCCGAGACCGTCCTAGCATACAGCAAGAAGACGCACGACATCTTGGTCGACCACGAGCTGCGCGACCACGTCGTATTCCTGCAGCTGTCCATGCAGATCTCGAGACTCTTGGATATCATGGGCCGCTCGCAAGAGTCGGTGCGCTTCTTCGAGGCCGCCGAGGCCGGCACGTACAAGAAGTTCGGGGCCGAGCACGCGAACACGGTCATGCTGCTGGACAATAAGACGGACCGCCTGATGCGCGAGGGCAAGCCGGCCGACGCGCTGGCCAACCTGGAGGACATCTCGAAGCGCCTGGACGGCCTCGTCGACGGCGAGGATACGGTCAAGCCCTACCTGCGCCGTAAGAACGCCGCCATCTTCGCCAAGGCCGGCCACTTCAAAGAGGCCCTCGCGCTGGTCGAGGACGACATGGCCGCCATGCGCGCCCACAGCGTGCCCGAGGGCCACCCGGCCTACCTCCAGGGCTCCATGATGAAAGCCAGCATGCTGCTCAGTTTAGGCCGCTTCGAGGAGGCGGCTGATAGTGTACGCAGCGTCGTCCGGCTCCTGCAAGATTTTCCGTGGCCCCCGCCGCCCCCGCCTCCTCGTCCGCCCGGCGACAGCGGCGGGCGCGGCGGAGGCGTTCCGAACAGCGCGGCGGGCAGTCCGGCCGAGGAGCTGGCAGAGCTGCTGGGAAGGAGCGAGATCGTTACGCCCGGGGAGGGCGCCAGCGACCTCGAGGGGCTCGATCCAGAGGGCCCGAGTTTTAACCCGGACATCTTCCCGGGGCCTCCAGAGTATCTGGTCGCCAAAGCCGTGCTGGCGATGGCGCTCTACGCCTGGGCGCACCAGCTGACCGCGGCAGAAATCGTCATTGACGAGCCTGTTGTCGCTCTCGGTGACGCTGCCTACGAGGAGGCGGCGCTGCTCAGCCGCAGGGCCGACACCATCTTGAATGAGCTCATCCAGGCCATCGGCAAGAAGCTGGAGGGTGACGCCGGCATTGTGACGGCAAGGGCTACTGCCACCCAGAGCGATGCCGACCCTACCGAGGCCATTTGCAGGACCTCCTCGGCCGTCCTAGGCGCCATGGACATGGGCTTTGCCCCGCTGGTCGAGATGGTGGCGGCACTGGGCATGCGCAACGCCCGTGGGGGCCTGCACTACGATAAGGCCCTCGCTGCGGCAAGGCGGATGAAGCTAGGGCGTATCGGGAACATACTCGCGGAGCACCGGCTGCTCTGCGCTGACGGCGAGCCGGCTGCCGACGCCCCGGCGATGTTCGGCGATGCTGCGGAACTGATGGACTGGGTGGCGGGTCGGTGGACGGGCACGTATCTCTACGAGGACGGAGGGCTTAGGAAGGACCCGACGGGCCGCAAGACACTCACCCTGACGGCCTCTCCCGCGGCGATATCCGCGCGGGCTGGCAGCGGCGAGGGTGGTGATGACGCCGACGACGGGGGTTGGGACGCCGACGTCGAGGGGACGTCGAGGGACGACATGGGTAACTGGGTTATCAAGGGGCGAGCCTGGGTCGGTGGGAAGATTGCCTTGCGCATCTTCCACGAGGGGGGCAATAAAGAGGAGGGATGGGAATACACTGGGCATGCCAACCCTGTGCGGCGTGCGTATGGTGGATACTGGGGCATGAGGAAGGCAACGAGGGAGGCGTCGGGGGGCACATTTCTGTTTTGCAAGTTCAAGTGAAATTTAATTCAGATCAGCTTCGATAGCTTCAGGGAGATGCTCAGTTGTGCTAGGCGGGCGTCGTCGACATCAGCGCCCTCGTCGGCCCAGGTCGTCGGACTTTGTAGGTACACCTAAAAACCAACGGCAGCGGCATCCTGGGCGGCCGCGGCCTCCTGCATCTTGCGAATCTTCTCGCGCTGCCTCGCCGTCCACACCGCTTGCAGCAAGACAACCACGAGAAAGGTGACCAGTATCATGGGAATCAACACAACCACAAACTTCCAGAACTCTGGCGAAACAACAATGATGCCCTCGGAGTTCGCGTCTACGAGACTTGTGCTGAAAATGCCCTGGAGTTTCGTATCAGTCGTCAGTCAACATCAAATCCAAGCTGTGGAATCCGGACGGGGTTCGCCACCAAAGAGCCAACCGACACCTGGGCCCAGTGTCGGGGGGTCATACCGCTAGCAGAGATGCGGGCAAGTACAAGGTCGCCACCACCGTCAGAGCGCGAAGGTTCACCGCCGTCCTCTGTTCCAGCTTGTGCTCCATCTCCCCATGGAGCGCCATGCTGGTCATCCTGGAAAGTAAGGCAACGTTTGCCTTGAGGGACGACTCGTTGGCCACAGCGCTCCGGAGGTTGTCATTGCCGTAGCGGCGGTTCAGAATGTCGAGTAACTGGGTTGAGTGTCAGCCCAGTGGCTAGTGTGTTGGGGGGTGGGGAAGGAGGAGGTTGGTCGAACCATAGACATGGTGTCGGATGCACGTCGCTGGAGATCGTTTATGCAGCGGCGGTAGTGCTTTGCCTTTGCGCTAAAATCTGCTAGTTCCACGGCGATGGCCTCTTCCAACGCATCACCTCTCTTCCTACCTAGCAAATCTTGCACCCTTGCCTTGAGGTCGATGGTAGCGTCCAGCATTGCCGCCGCCCTAAGCAGTCTTTGCTTCAAGCGCTGGAGATTTTGCCGATCCTGAAAACGAAGGTCGTAGTCGTGTTGCTGAACGTGGTCGGCCTCGGAGAGTAAGGATATGGCCTCCTTTATATGGTACCTAGTTAGCGCGGACATTGTTCCTGACCAACCGTCGAGTGGCACCGGCTCCAAACGGAACAAGAGCGGAATGGCAGAGAAGAGTAATACAAATCTTTCCAACTTTGTCGTCTGAGCCGCGATGTAGTCCGGCCAGTTGCGCAGGGTGAAGTAAGTGAACATGACGTGAAGGCGTGCAGCTCTACCCTTTCCCGACAGGGCGAGACGAGACACCCCTTCAAGCTCAGCCTGTAGTGGCTCTTCTAGATGAGGAGATGGTTTTATAAGAATCCAAGACGATTGGTTACCAGAAGCATTGTACTGATGATAGACAGCCGTCTGCCTGGGGGACCAAGGGTCTCCTTCGGCCCTCCCATTATTCTCAAAGTAATGAAGCATGTAGCAAGTCTCAGCTGCCCGTGACAATTGTCAGTGCCATTGCCCTGTATTCACCATGTTGACCAGCTGCTTACTTACCAACCCCTGTATCTGCATGTCGACGTCTTGAATGAAAGCCGTGCCAGGTGTTGTTGTCGTCTCTGGTTCTGATGCCAAAATTCAGGACTGTTTCCAAGAAAAATGGAAATACCCGAAGAGCATTCGCTAGCCTGTCGAAGGACTCGCTGGCTACCCTGAGGCGGTCCCAGGAGTGAGACTGGCGAATGACACTGCTTCTGCTATTAGAACACAACTCGGGAGGGTTTCAGTTCGGCCGTGGTATCCACGGGGTGTAACCCTACTAGAGCACATCTCCTCCCGGCACGGGAAGCACGGTGGGATCTGCCCCAGGCGCTGCTCCGGTGATCGCTGGGATTTGCCAGTCTCGCAGCCTACGGGGCTCGTCACCTGCAACCCAAACCTCGGCGTCGTCATGCTCCTGAGAGAAGAGGGATTGCTGGCGTTCTGATAGCTTTCTACGAATGCTGTTTACGTCACAGCTGCCGAGGGAGACGAGACTTGCGCCTGCCTCCATGTTGTGGTGCCGCGGGACGGATCACTGGGTGGTCAGGCTGTGTGGCTGAGGGCGTGGTGCGTAGGTAAGCCTCCGAGACCAACAAAAAACCAAGTAAAATCAAAGCGCGGGGTACTTGTCCGTCTTCAATGGCAGCACCTGATGACGGCTCCGGGGGTCGAGGGGTCCACTTGGCTTACAGGCTGGGAGGTGTCGGGGAGAGGGCACGCGCTAATGCACGGCCAGCCAATAAAACCATTCTGTCCTGGCGAATCCTATGGCGTTGCAATTCTCGTATTATGTTCAATGGCGCCTAGTTCCAATATCTCGCTGCAGGCTGCGGCGACGATAGGCCGACGCCTGCAGCTTTGTAGACGGGACCAATGGACCCCCGGCACGCCTACAGTACGACGACTAGGCGACGCGGGGGCGACGCGGGCGCTTAACGGGCAGGTGGGTGAACAAGGACCATGAGCAACGTGCATTGTATCTATCACTGAATTGGTTGGAACATCACTTGAATAGGTTAGCGTCTCGCTAGGCATTTTCCTTCGTCTGCTCCCCCGGTCTCGGCTGTGTCTATTTATTTTCGCTGGTAAGGCTGCCAATAAGAACTGGAGGTGCTCGCCAAAAACTGCTGCCTCTCTGTCACATCGCGGGGGCCCAGGAGATAATGGCCTGATAGCTGAAACCCTTTGTCGTTGGCCTCCTTCTCCCCCGTCTTCGCTGTACATATAGCTGGATTTCCCAGGCCCAATCAGCTGGCTGAGGCATTTTGTTCGCCCCATTCCAGGGCCATTACGCCGCGGAGAGTCTATACTAGCTCCCTCGTTCGCTCGCTCGCTCGACTGTGGCCCCTCAGCTTCTTCTGCCGTACCTAGTGTCATCGGTCGTCGCGTTCGCCAGCATGGAGACAAACGCTACCGTGGAATTGGTTCCACAGGAACTGCCATCGCAGTACCTTGATATTCTGAAGCTGAGAACGAAGCTCAGAGAACTGTTTCCGGGGGTCAGGTGCAAGATTGAGGTGAGTCTTGTCGCCTACGCCCAGTCAGGGTACTACATCCGGCACCAATTAACCACCCTGGGTCGGTCAACAGCCCAAGCTGGAGCATAATTTCACCCTCATCTTCGTTCCGCGAGTGCTCACAGAGGTGAGGCCACTACCCGACATCCTTTCATGAGGTGTGGTGCTAAGTCTGCGGGTTGAAGGAAGAGAAAGTCAGCGTCATGACGAACACTGAATGACGAGACGGGCACATTTGGAAGACAACTCCAAAGCGACTATGTGGTATGGAATGCAGCAATGGTACGGCTGGGGAAGGGGTAAGGCTGAGGTGCCCTCTTCTAGGTATCAGCAGTATGATGCTATGTAACTCGCAGCCGCGCCAGGAGACAACTTCGGGGCGTAACTCGCCTAGGAAAGGAGAAAGGAACGCCCATTAGACGCATGGGATGGGACCCGTGCAAATTTACAGCCTGCTTTTTCGTTCTTCTTGGCCTCGGCATACCAATATCGCGGCATTTTCGCAGTGGGTGAGCGGCACGGATCCCGTGCATCTAGTGGGCGTCAAGTGGAAAGCTGGGAATGGCAGCAGCCGTGTTGCTTTCGTTGGCCCAAGTGCCAGGATTCGTGGCTCCACTCGACCTAGGCTGGTCTATGTATATCCCTGGCGAGCTAATGTCCCGTACTCCCAGCGCAGGGGCCGTCTCTGTCAAGTATACGCAACGCGCCCTTATGACCTGGGCTTCTTGACAAAACAAAGTCACGGTTCTCACGGCTATTCCTAAATACAATTCGCAATGCCTTCCGAGAAGATAGAATCTCTACGACGCGAGATCCATAACCGACGCCTGACGAACACCGCCGGAGAAGAGTTCGTACCGGACAAATGGCTATCCGACCTCCTGACCGAAGAGAGAATTCTCGACGCTCTAGAGGCACTTGACGACAGCATCATCGACAAGGACGAGTGTCCACAAGTCGCCCGAGATATCTGGAAATTCGGGCTCAAAACATTCGCCATCTTTCTCACCATGGGGAAGCCCGACCTCGTCTACCGTTTCTTCCAAACCGACCAATTTGACAAGGATACGTGTGGCCTTCTGGACAGGCGCCTCCCCATGGAGGAAGCGAAGCTAGAGCACGCGCTGGGCTTGACGCACATCCGAGAGGACATCAATAATTTGGTGGAAGACGCTAAGCAGAAGGGCGTGGTGCTCGACAGCAACCCCAATTTCAAGCGGTTGAAGGAACAGGAGGCGGAGTGCATTGATCTATGCCAAAGATTCATGTCGATCCAGGACGTGTTCTTGAGTCCAACATTCCCCCAGGGGCCGCTTCACCGCTTATTGCTAGACTCGACGAGACTACCCTTCGTTTCGAATTCGGAGCATCGCGAGACGGCAGACGCGGGAGCAGCACAGCAGCCACAAGGGGCATTTGGCAAAGTGAGCATGGAGGCGCTTCCTCAGCGGTGTTACGGGGATAAGGTATGTGGGAATTCCCCCGCGGCTGAGTAACCAAGGTGAATCGCAGAAGATACTTTGGCTAACTGCTAGCCGTCAAAGCGAGGGATGGTCGTTGTTCGAAAGGAATTGAAATCACAGGGTAAAGAAGCCTACAGAGGCGAGCTCCGCTGCTTGCGACTCTTGGCTGCTGCTCGCCACCCCAGCCTCCTCGAGCTGTACGGTTCGTATACGTACCACACGAAGCACAATTTCCTATTCCATGAAGCGGTCCAGGGCGATCTCCACGACCTGTTAGAAGCAGAACGGCGGCTTCCCGAGTTCCAGCATGACGACGCCTTCTACCTTGCCTTCTGCGGCTTGGCATCGGCGTTGGAACAGGTCCACTGCTATGCCAACGACGATCTGAAGTTGAAGATGATCGGCTGCCACCACGACCTCAAGCCTCGGAACGTGCTCGTGGACGGGGGGCGCTTCATCCTCGCCGACTTCGGGCTCGCGACCATGACGGACGAGCGTGTGGACCCCACAACCTTGGCTCAAGACCGCGACCTGTACTTCGCCGCGCCCGAGAACATCGACTACGTCAACAGCATCAGACGGCCGGTAGGACCGCCGGGCGACATCTGGTCGCTGGGCTGCATCCTCGCCGAGGTCCACACCTTCATGCGGGGTGGGCGCGATGCCGTGCGAGACTTCAGACTTAGTCGAGCATTCGATCAGGACTTCGGCGACATGATCATGACCATCAAAGCTTTTCATGACGGCCTCGGAAACCTAAATCCGGCGACCGTCCGCCACCTAGACGAAATGAAAGCGACTATTCGAGCCGAGGCCGAAGCGAGGGCTGCCCATAGACGGCAGCATATACCCGAACTCGGCCTCATCCGGCTCGTGCGGGAGATGCTCACCATTAACGACTTGGCTCGTCCCGACATCAAAAAGATCCTCCAGCGTCTTCGCTGTGTCACGTTGCAGAAAAAATCAGAACCCGTTTGCGACGAGCTATTGGTCTCGCCACACTCCAAGAACGTCGAGTTCATCATCGAGCGACAGGTCTTCCGCGAGTGGCTCGGCCGCCTGGAAGAGGTAGGACAGAGGGGCCAGCTGTACCTGCCCTCCGATGCGGCCTTCAATCAGGCCTGCAACACCATAGACGCCCTGCTCGACGAGCTCCGCCGCCTCTCCCAGGACGACCTCGAGTCCCCGCTCTTCTCGCAGCTCCGCCGGCTCAACGAGCAGCTACTGTCGTGCCTCGACGTGGCCGGCCGTCTCTCCATCCGGCGAGATGTCGAGCGCAACGCCATCCCCATCGCTCGCGAGCTGGCCCGCGAGTCGGGACTGCCCGCCACCTCCGTGTCCGAGACCGCGCTGCTCGCTTCGGGCCCCAACGCCAGCATACTCCGGCTCCTCGCTGTGGCCCAGGTGAACGCACGGATGCGTCAGGAGGGCGACCAGGCCGTCCCCAGGTTAAAGAGCACCGACGTTACGCTCCTCGATCCGCCCAAGGTCGCCGATGCAGCGACGACATTCCGGCTAGGCACGTTGAAACAAGACGGAGGCGCCGTCGAGATTCCTGTCGTCGTCGAAGAAATGACCATCGAGGCCAAGCACGCGGAGCCCAAGGATAGCGACCGCCTCTTCAAGCGGCTGAAGAATGTCCTCGTCCTCGGCGCCACTGATACCCTCCCGGACTTCCGTGCCCTGAGCTGTAGCGGCATCTACTTTGACATGGACAAGGAGCTGATTGGCATAACCTACAAGTATCCTACCAACGTCAGCAGCAGCGACAGCTCGACACGCGTCGCCAGTCTCGCTCAGCTGCTGAGTGAGCAGCCCCATACGGTCGACTATGAGCGCAATCTCGTGGTCGGCCTCGACGACCGCGTGCGGCTGGCGCGCGATCTTGCCCTCGCCGTTTCCAATTTCCACCACATCGGCTGGATGCACAAGAACCTCTCGTCGCATACGGTGCTTTTTTTCCTCGACGCCACTCCTTCCTCCGGGGCCCCAACCTCGCCGCGCCCGCCGCCACGCCGCCTGGCCCTCTCGGCGCCCGCCCTTATCGGCTTCTCGCACAGCCGCCAGAGTGACGAGACGCTGATGTCCAGCAAGCGCTACCACACCTCGACCGAGTTGCGCGCGTACCACCATCCCAAGTATGCGGGCGAGGGCGGCGGGGGGGACCGCGACCCCTACCGTGCCGAGTTCGACTACTACAGCCTCGGTCTGGTGCTGCTGGAGCTGGGGCACTGGTGGCCACTGCGCAAAATCGTGCAGGACCGACGCGACCGCGCCGCCATGAGGAAGTACTTGCTCCAGCGGTCGGTGCCATTCCTGGCGGGGGCCATGGGCGAGGCTTATGCGAGCGCCACGGAAGCCTGTCTTTCCGGCGACCTGGAGAAGGGGTCGGTGGAGGGGCGCTTTAGTAGGTTGGTGATTGCGCCCTTGGAGGAGCTATTGGGCAATGGGGTGGGGATGTGAAATTTACAAGCCTTTGTTACATTAGAAAAAGAAAAGAAAAAACGGCAAACCAAAAGTAGCCACGAAATGATGGAACCTTTACAAGTTCAACGAACACAACGGTCAAACACATACGATCATACCCACTGGAATATACGGGATCCCGTCCGCTCTCCCCTCGTTAAACCAGTGAGGGTTGGATTAGTGCTCGCGGAGCCGATGGGATCCCGGGACCTTGACCGCTGGCCAATAGCCGCCCGCCCTGGCCGCCCCACCCTCCATGGGCTCTACATGCTCCACAGCCTCGCGACCATTTCTCCAACGTTTGTCTTCCTTTTCGAAAACGACAGAAAACGGGATTCTGTTTCTAGGATCCAACAGGACCGCCCACCACCCACCTCGCTGCCCTTAGCGCCGCCGCCCGCCATGGAAAGCTTTCACGCAAGCAAGAGGGCCATTGGGTCGCTCTTTTCGACTAGTGGGAAAAGGAATAGGAACACAAGGAAGGAGTGCCGCCTGCTTTTCCCTCCGCTCCCCCCTACTTGACGCAACCGTCATACAAAGAAACATACAAAGAAAGCATTTCACTTTCCAGGATCTCGGTCTAGTTCAGCCGCGGGTGGTAATATACCATAGCGTGTTTGTTCCAGCTGCATATTTGTAGTTACATCGACGCGCCGGGGCTTTAGCTCCGGGAGACTGTGGGCAGTCCAAGTCGACTGATATTCGCATATCAGTCGATTGTAGGTAGCTAGCTACATACCAGCCCCCTCGATTGCAGTTTGGCGTGGTCTGGTGATTTGGTGCTGCGTATGTGGTTGCACAAACGGGCACTTTCCAGCACTTGTTAATGACAGCAGGCGGTCGTGCTACATGCTACACGGCACCTCCCCCCGGGGACCATCGGTGCCCAGTCTGCGACAAAAAGTAAACATAGCCGCCTCCCTGGGTATCTACTGCACTTCGTACCCAAACCGAGCTCGGTATAAATGCGCTTAATGCCTCAAAAACTTCAAGCCACTGGGCATTGACGAGCGGCTCGACTGGATTACATTACCTTGGTAGGTACCTACCTGACCTGTGGGTAATTGAGGGCCTGGCCGCAGCCACCAATCGCTTAATACCTACTGCCCGCTCTTGTGACCCGCCTGATTCCTGTCCTCCTGTCCACCTACCTCTAGGCGTCGGACTCAATCTCCATTCATCAGTGACGGGGCAGTCGCGAATCGCCTACGAATCACCTATCCGAACCCAATAACTCGGAGCCCAGCATGACGTCCAAATCAGACGTTACCTACGAGCAGCGCGGTGAACTCCACAAGAGTCCCGTCGCGAAGCGCCTCTTCAGCATCGCCACGTCCAAGAAATCGAACTTGGTGATATCGGCAGACCTCACGGACAGCAAGAGCCTCCTCAAATGCGCAGATGGTATCTTCTCCGGATTCCTCCGCTCTGCTCCTTCGTGTCGGAGCTGACAAATCCATCGCCTCGCAGACCTCGGCCCTCTCATCGCAGTCTTCAAGACCCACGTTGACCTCGTCCACGACTTCAACGAGGACACAATCCGTGGGCTCAAGACTCTGGCCGAGAAACACAACTTCCTCATCTTCGAGGATCGCAAGCTTGTGGACATCGGAAGCACGGTCCAGAAGCAATACCACGGAGGCGTCCTGAGGATCTCCGAATGGGCGGACCTCGTGAACCTTAGCATCCTGGGCGGGGACGGGATCGTCGAGGCGCTGTCGCAGACCATCAGCGCCCCCGACTTCCCCTACCCCGAGCAGCGCGCGTTCCTGATCCTCGCCGAGATGACCTCCAAGGGCAGCCTGGCGACGGGCGCTTACACGAAGCGCTGCGTCGACCTAGCCAGGGAGCACCCGGACTCGATGCTCGGCTTCGTCGCGACGCGGTCGCTGTCCGGGGACGGCGGCGGCTGCCGGGCGGACGAGGACTTTGTGGTATTCACGACGGGCGTCAACATGGAGAGCAAGGGCGACAAGCTGGGCCAGCAGTACCAGACCCCGGCCGGCGCCGTCGCCAACGGGGCCGACTTCATCATCGCGGGCCGGGGAATCTACGCGTCCGAAGACGCCGTGTCTGCCGCCGAGGCGTACCGAAAGGCTGGCTGGGAAGCGTACGAGAATCGGACCAAAACTGGAGCCTCCTCCACCTAGGAGAGGTGGTGCTTGTCTATTTGCGTTTTTAAGACTCTATGGATTAACCTGGGCTGCTTTCTAAAGAAGGGGCATTTTCTCGTTAACACTTTACGTAGAAAAGTTCATGATTAGGTAGTCTTGCAATCCTCGCTTGCGTTGCGAACCCTGGCCTCAAACTCGACCAGGCGTGAGTGAAAGACCGCGCCGTTCCATCGCTCGGGAGAGTCGGCAGTCGCTGGCGCCAGTTTTGGAAGGCCAAATTGCTCAAGGGCAAAGCTGGCCGAGACGGAACCGCGAACTGCCGCCTGCCTCGAGTCCCCGGTCTCGAGGAGGCCGAGGGCAAACCCGCCCAGGAAGGCGTTGCCGGCGCCAGTCGGGTCGACGACGGCCACGGCAGAGCAGCCGGCGTCGTGGTACGGGGGCAGCCACTCGGCCGAGGCTCCCGCGGCGCCCTGGCTCATGGTGACGCACCCGTGCTCGCCGCAGCGCACGACGACCATGCCCGCCGCCCCGCCCCGCGTAGCGGCCAGGAAGCGCCCCGCGTCCTCGACAGTGGCCTCGTGCGAGAACGTGCTGCTGCTGCTGCTGCCCATGGCGGCGTCACCGTGCTCGCGCACGAGATAGCCCAGCTCGAGGTGGTTGGGGGAAAACACGTCGACGAGGCGGCAGGCGCGGAGGTGGGCGTCGAGGTTGCTCCTCTTGCAGCCGAGAGGGGCGGGCTCCCAGACGACCAGGGGCCGCTCGCGGATGCCGCGCTCCCGGCGCAGGGAGAGGAGCGAGTCCACGTGGCGCTCCAGGTCTTGCGGCAGGGCGAGGAAGTGGAAGGATCTGGCCTCGATGAGCGGGTGCTGCGCAGAAGCGGCGAGGCCCGACGGCAGGGGCTGCAGCACCGGCGTGAGATAGCGAAAGCTCTTGCCTATATGGTAGGTTAGGCATCTGTCGTTGCACGACGCTAGGGCTTACGAGCCGTGGCAAAAGTGCAGGTTTGGGCGAAAACCTACGCCCGAACACATTGTCCTCGTACTCAAGGAGGCCTCTCGTGGTTGGGCTATCCGGCAGCCGTTGCAAATCCAGCATAATTTCCCAGGACTGAACTTGATCCTCAATGCTATCCGAGAAGTCCTTTCCGACGAGTGAAAGGTAGCCGACGGCCCCAGGGCCAGCGGGCGAGTAGCTGGCGCCAAGACGCGCGCCGAGTGTGGCTGCCCGAGAGAAGATCGTCAGTGTGCGTTGTCGTCGGCGGACTGATCCCCTAGAGGTATCACGCCCGGCGCTTTTGCGTGTGCCACGAACCATATAGACCTGAGCCGCCCGGGACATCGGTCAAGGTCCTCTCTGGGAAACGTATCTCGTCCAAAACTACCATTCCCAGTGACACGAAGTCGGGCGGCCGCGGTTTGTCCGGCGCGTCTTTGGACCAAAGCTGAGCCATCGTGGAGAAACGGCTAGGGGCAAATTGGAGGGGTTGTTGTTCCGAGGGGGAAGATCAGTGAGGCGGAAAAGGCGAGGGAGTCGGGCGCATATGGCAGCCCTCCCGGGTTGCCTTTTTATAACGCCAGGCGCGATTAGTCACTTCGGGTGATTGAGTGGTGCCTGCCCTACCCCCATTCCACGCCCAGTTGGCACAGAAATGCTAGTCACAATTCCGCCCACGGACTAGAGCACCATCACCAAATTCAGACGCTGTTCTGTTGCGGTGCAACTTGGTGGTGGTATCAGCCAAAGTTAGAGCTGAGCTGTGCAAATGGCCGAGACCCACTGTTCGTCCCCTTGCTCAAAGGCCTATGGACGACCTGCCGGCGCGCATCCTGGCCAGCGCAGCAAAAGGCGCCAGGGTCTTCCTCCTGGATGGTGAGAAATCCCACAGTCCATGTCGAGCACCCGCTTAGCCGCCCGCAGCAATCAACTAACCAACTGCCTGCCGCCATGTTCCAATGGCCCATCGCTGCAACACAACAGGCTTTCCACGCAACCTCGATCAGTCCGACTACTTCGAGGCGGTCGTCTGCCCGATCAAAACCGTCATCCTTCTCGAGTGTTCTGATGAAGTGATGCTCGCCAGGCAGCTCCCGCGGGCAAGATTCGACGACGTCCCCGAAAACATACAGCGCAGGATCCGGACCTTCCGCACCACGACGTCGCTCGTGGTCGACTCCTTTCGCGAGCGAGGCAAGGTTCAAGTTGTCGATGCTGAAGAAACGCCCGGTCAAGTCGCCGCGGCCGTGTCCGACCTGTTTTCCGAGCTCGCAGAAACTGGAAGCAAGAAACTCGAGCCAATGACCGGCAGCCAGGCAGAGTGCCAAGCAGAAGGCGCCGGGACGATCATCAGCATTTCCAGCCAGTAAAGACGGGCAAAACCAGGACAAACGCTTGGGCCATTACCACAGAAGGAAGCTCTTGGCACTCGCGCCTTTTGGCATTTAAACGGCACCAACTGAAAGAGAAAAAAAACCCCCGCAGTTCTAGTCATCCCTTACTGCACAGTGCCATGTGGTGACCGTAGGTCAACTTCTCATTGTCGTGCTCGTCCGCCTTGTTCGAGTTTCTCTCCTTAAGGATGACGGTATGTGGAAGGAACCACTCGGGGAACGCGCGTCGTATCCCGGAGCTTAGTAGCCCGGGAATCCAGGACAGGATCCGACCGAGAGCTGTGTGACGTGCTGTGCACAGGGAGGGGTTCTCCAAGGGAGGTCTCAGAGGTTCAGGTCACTCAGCAGTCTCGAGAAATGTGCGGGCCAGTGGTATATTCGTAAAGGGTGCCTGCCTGTACTCCACAGGAGAAAACAAGAAAAAACGGTTGCTTGCCCTCCGAACTCTTTTACAGGGAGTCTTGCGGGCCCTGGATATACATGATGCCGTAGTGGCCTCCGGCCACCACGCCGCGGGCCTTGGACGCTTAGACACGGCCAAGGGGTCGCCTGTGCTCATGTCGTCAGACTGGTCGTCCGTTCGTTTTTGAGCCGACGGACTGAGCGCCGACCCGCGCTCGTGCCGCCAGCTTGTGCTCGAGCCGCCAGGCGGGCGTCAGCTCGCCGGGCTGGGCACGGGCTGAGATGCCCAATATCTTTGGGGTGTTACAAGCTGTGCCAGACCGCAATCGGCTGTTCTTGGCAGCAGCAATACACGGAACAGTCGGCATCCTCCAGGCCGTTTTTGGAGATGCCGATCTGCAGCACAATGCAAGGCTTCGGGACGGGCGCAGGGCTTGGCGATATTTGAGGGTGCCCGGTGGACAATGCAGCGTTTCTAGTCGGCGTCGGCTGCTTGGGCTGGGATGAGTGGCCTTCTTGTGCTACGACTTTTGATAAAAAGTGTTTCACTTTCCCGAGTGCCCAAAGTGCGCTTTCCAGAGAGTGGCGGCATCCAGGGGGTGTTGTTATCATCTTTCGGGTATCCAACTTTCGGCAGGTAGGGAGACGGCGCCTCCCGGTGCTTCTCGTTGGTTTGCCTCGGGGCTCGCCTTGGCCCAGATGCACATATTAGCTCAGGACGCGCTGTGCTGCAGTCGGGCTCACCCTCCAAAGCCGGGGCGCAAGCATTCGTCACGATCTAGTGGACGAAGCATGGCCCCGTATGGGACGAACCATGATGCCTTGGCCAATTATATTGCTAACTTGCCACCAGAACCGGTTGACGTCCAGACGGTAGAGATCAGTCTCTCCTCCGAACCCGGGTCTCAGGCGGAAGTGTACCATGAATCCTTCGATTCAACTACCCGACTAGCTAATCATCTCGACCTGGCAGTAAGAGCTCGGAGCTTTCTCTACGACGTCCATCTCATATCATTAGATAGGTAACCTGCTAACCATCACGAACATACTGCTCCACAGACCCGTCCCAATCTGGTTTGCCGTGTCATGTGAGTGCCAACAAGATCCGAGTCACAATTATTGCTTCGTAATATTCACGCTTTTGTCCATAATTAGCAACGTTTCGCGACTTTCTGGGCCGCTACTCCAGCTACTTGGCCAAAAATACGAGATGGACTATGAGCTCTGGACCTCCCGATTCCAGTCAAGCGACTGCGAGTGGTTTGCAGCGCCAATGTCGAACTACGGTAACGCCAACAAACACTCCCTCGTCTTTAGTAGGCGGCTAGTGGATCCAAATGGACTAAGCTAACGACAGAGTGAGCAGGAGTCCGTCGATTTTCCCATTTCAACTTGTCCTACATCGACTTCTGACGTGCAACAGAGCAGACGCCGGAGAGGTTTAAAGAAAACAAGAGGCTGGGGCATACAATTCGGCTAGTTCGCCTGCTCGATCTTTCGGGCCCTGGTAAGAAACGTCGCCGGTGACCTTTCAGAGAGAGAGAGCACCATTGGCCTAAACTAACCGACAAATCGAACACGCAGAAGCGCGGCCCAGGATCCACGTCGTTCGACGAATATCGTGCCATTTACGCGAAAATAACGGCCTTTGGACTGTCATATTTCTCACTGACCCCCACACTAGCCTTGATGACGCCCGTTACGAAACGAACATCCCCGGGCAGGTCCAAGAGCCTCCCCACAAGTGGCTGCTCAGCTATGTTGGCCGTGACACATCTCAGGAATTTATCAGTGACTTGGCAGGCGACGGGTTCGGCTTCGTCCTCAAGATCCCGAGGGAGATGAAGACGACTTGGAAGCTTTTTTGGACGAGATGGAGGCCTTTCTCGAGAAGATGGCAAGTACACGCGGACCCAGTTGCTGATCAACTCTTCTCAAATATTCGCGAGTTTACCTACAGGCGCACCGAAGTGGAGGCGGCGATGAACTGATAGGAAATCCATAAACAGATTGAGAGCCAATTAGACGATGAGCTGATCGAGTCGGCCAATTGGCTTTATAGAAAGTTTCTGTTGAACATAGATTACCTATAGCGACATCTCTTCTATCACTCTCGGTACATCAACTACCTTATCAGCCAACCTTCTAACAACAAAAACTTTATATATCCCACGCCCGTCTTTGAAAAGGAGCTGCAGCAAGAGGGCAATGCTCTTGCGGTGGTTGATCAGAGGCTGAAGGGTTTGAAGGCGAGAACTACGGCCATCATCGAGACCGTGAGTAGCCTTCTCGCGCTTGCTTGCAGTCAATAGGTATAAGCCCGAACTAAAGATTTAAAAAAAACACTAGGCGTTAAGCCTGGTTGCGATCAAACAGGCTCGGTATGCGGCGAGGATGACAGAGCTGCAAATCCAGGAGTCCCAAGCAACGTTTACTCAGGGAGAAAGTATTCGCCGGCTCACGATTGTCAACATGATATACCTGCCGGCCACGTTCATTGCCGTCAGTATACGAATCCACAGCCCTCCCGTTGAGTTTATTGAAGCTAACCTCGGCGAGCAGACCGTGTTTGGCATGCAGGTCGCAGAAAACAGCGACAGCAGCCCATGGCACATCTGGAGCTTTGTCATAGTCTCTCTTGCCTTCACTATCCTCACTCTGGGCCCCGCTGCCTACAGGTTTGAGAAAAGACGCTCGGGGAGGGCTGCCGGGAACGAGACTGAGGCATCTTGGCTCTCTAAAGCCTGCCGGGCCATCTTCCCCTACAGGGCCGTGAGAGTCGGCGTTGTCAAGTCACTTCAGCAACCACCTTCAGAGGTGTGACAAACGGCCAAGGTTCTGCGGCGAAGACGTAGCAATGCGCCATGTATCCGTGGCACTTGGAAATCGCCACCCCCGGGTGTGTAGTTTAGTGGTGTGAAAATAGGAGAGGGCAGTCATTGGCTTCAACTACCTGGCTCCTCGTGACCGCACGATGAGGCCAAGGACTTTCTAAATGTACCGACTGCCTGCAGATTGCCGAGAAGGGCTCTCCCCCGCGGTGCTATTACGGCACAATCATCTATATATAGGTAGTCTAGAGGTGGCTCCTAGACCTGGGAGTGACGGCTACCAATGGTCATGCTAATTACCCAGCTCGCCCCCTCGTTGTCCGCGTATGTCGCTTCCAAGAAAGGGCCCAGCCGCCGGAAATGTCATCCACAAGCCTCACCTGGACTTTGTGCTTCTACTCGGAGCCTGCTAATATGAGCGGGCCGGAGTATATTGCCGAGACGCAGACCCTGCCGGGAACCCGCAACTACGAGCACAACCGCGTCAAGGTCCCGATCTGGGACATCAGAGGAGAGGAGCACAAGTTCAATCTCGACGAGCACTCCTTCCTGGCCTTGCCGCAGGCCTTCTCCCCGGGCGCAGAGTTCGAGGGCGACGAGGGGATGGCCCGAAGCTACCTCCCGTGGGTGCGGGACCTCGTCCTCAAGACGGTGGCGGGCTCCACCGGCGTCTTCATTTTCGACCACACCGTCCGCAGGGCCTCGGCGGCCAAGAGCCCCAGGCGGCAGGTGCGCAAGATGCACGTCGACCAGTCACCCGGGGGCGCGCTGGGCCGGGCGCGCAGGCACCTCCCGGCGTCGGAGCGCGCGGCCGTCGAGTCCGGTTGCGTCCGGTTCCGCATCGTCAACGTCTGGCGGCCGCTGGGGCCCGGCGAGGTCGCCGACCACCCCCTCGTGTTCGCCGACTGCCGGACGGTCGCGCAGGAGGACCTGGTGCCCGTGCGGCAGGTCTACCCGGACTACGTCGGCGAGACGTACGCCGTCCGCCACGGGCCCGGCCAGCGCTACCACTACTGGAGCCGCATGGGCCCCCGCGACGTTCTCCTACTGCAGTGCTTTGACAGCTCCAGGAGCGGGGGCGGCGATCGTGGTGCCGGAGGGCAGTGCGCGAATGGGTCTTTCGAGCTCCACGAGCCTCTGGAGGAACCTTGTTTGCGCGAGAGCATCGAGGTGCGATGTCTTGTGCTTGTCGAGCCCTCTCTAGTTTGATGCAGCGGCCACTTCTGCCCGGGTTTCACTGTGCTTCTTCATATTCTTCCTCAAGGAAATATATCGTAGCAAGAACCATGAAGTTACATATGCGCCTCGAGAAAAGAAAACAGTAGAAGCAAAAGAAAAAGAGAGTAATTAATACCACCCTATCCAAACACTAGCCAACACACACGTAGGTGCTTTAGAGCATAATGTGTATTATAGTTTACACTGGTGATCATCTCCTCACCGTAGCCTTCCTTTGCTCCCACTCGGGCCACTCGCTCCAGACTGCGTCCTTTCTGATCAAAAAACAACAACAACAAAGGCTTGAACAAACCCACAGGTATTAATGGAGAGCAGAAGCAGGCATATCAGGAGAAAGTATACCGTGAAGGGGGTACCGACCAAGGAGGATACATGTCAGTATCAGGTATCGTCCGGCCAGCCCGTCCCCACCGTCCCCGTCCCCGGCGTCTGGTACAGGACGGTGCACAGCCTGCCCTGCCCCAGCGCGGCCCACAGGATGAAAAAGTGCAACCCAAAAAGGAGGCCGCTGACCCGCCAGTCCCAACGCCACCGCGAAACATGCTACCTTAGAGTATCCGGGTTGTGCTATTGGGGAGCGGAAGTGCCAGGAGCACATTTCTCGTCTCGTTCAGGGATGATGCATATGGGTTGAACACAAGTGGGCGTGCAGGGTGGGGCGCAGTAGACGGCCGTTGGACGGTAGGGGAACGCTTGGCTGGGAGCAAAAGGGAGCAGAGGCATCCGTTTTTGGGGGCATGGGATCCCATTTGCTCTCAAAATCTCCCAGTACTAAAACATATAAGGGCCGAACTAGTACTCCGGTGGGTGACCACTGGGGAATCCTCGGTGTTGTATGTTTGCCAAAAGGTTTTTTTAAAAAAATTGTAATGCGGTGTGCCCTGTCCAAAGCGAGTAAATGCGGTGCTAGTCCTGCTATAAGGCCGCGCAGTAGTAGTAGAGAGGGAAGGGAGTTACGAATCGGCTACGAACCTGTAATGATGGACGAGGCAAACACGAAGCAAGCCAATAACAAAAACAAGCTGAGTAGATAGGAAGATACCTGCGGGTCCCCGCCCTGCTGACCCCCTCTGGAGAAAAACACACACTCTATTTGCTTGGAAGAAAGTCTGGAGCTGCTAGAATGGAGTCCATTACCGGCCAAGATTATGCATCTGCAGCTGAACTGCATTCAGCCTCCGAGCGGCCTCGTCGACGGCGGCCGCGGCGCGGGCGTAAAAGACCACGTCCCTTTCCGCCTCTTGCACAGCGTTCTCGCCGCGGACCATGTCGATGTCGTGCCGGGCGCCGATGAGGAAGTCCCGCGCGTGGTCCGACATCTTGGCTATGGCGTCCTCGGCGATGGCCTCGAAGCGCTTGCTGACGGTCTGGTAGGCTGTCGAGAAGGTGGCCTTGTCGCCCACTTTTCTTTTCATCATGTCCTTGCGGCGCTTGTCTGAGCCGGTTCCTGTTAAACTCTCGTTGTGTTAGCGGAGGGGTATGTGATGAAAATGATGGAGGCATGGGACTTTTCTCTCTCGTTTGGGCAGACTCGTACCGCATTCGCGGGCACAGGCGATATATGTGGACTCCATAGTCTCCCCCATGATGGATGACCGATGGCCGCCGGTCAGATCTGCTTGGAGATTACTGGGTTGGGGGTTAGCCAGCCTGTATCGACAGTGGACCTGCCACACATGTTTTGGGCTGTCTGCCTTACTAAGACCGTTCGTAGAACTCCGCCTGGACATCGTCGAGGGCGCGGACAAGGACCCTGCATCTGGGAATGACAGATCTGCGAAGGGTTTTTATGGATGGAGAGAGGTGCGAGATTTCGTCTGAACAATATCGGGGCCGGAAAAAACAATGTTAGCTATTGTTAGAGCTTTGCCGGACCGGGAACTATGGTTCCATGAGACAAAACGGACCCATCAGCTCGAATGAGCGCTGGAGGCACCTTTGCGTCTCTGCGGATAGGTCGTCGAGTAGTCTTTGATCGCCGGGAGAGTCAGGCCAGATGTTCAAGAGGCCCAAATAATCCTGCGTCATCTCCTCGAACAGTTCGTTATTCCAGTTGCGATCTTGATGGTTGCGGGCGCTTGGAGAAGCGGTGCCGAAATAGCGGCAGAAGGCATGGTAGGTATCTAGAGAATCATACTTCGTTAGTGACTCTGTAGGTAATATCTTGAATCATTGAGTGCTAGATGTGGGTGTAAGAAGGATGCAGGGTGACAAGGCGGGGATGAGCGATCTACATACTCCAAGCCCACTGAGGATTTGCAGCATCAGGGCGTCAGTATCTCTAGCACAGAATACAGGGGCGGTGGTCATTTTTCACTTACACCTGTGTATTCCTGATGGACCTCTGTAGCTGCTTGGGTCCAGTCTTGATACTTCCTATGCAGCACTCGCGCTGATGATCTTAACTGTCAGAACCAGGTGCTTGTGTGCGATGGTTTTTTTGGGCGATAGCGAGAAAGTGATGGTGATCAAACATACGGTTCGGCATCCCAGTTAGGATTTGCTCCTGGAGAGCCACTTCCACCCGACAAAGAGATGATGATTGGGAGGTTAGTGCCTCAAGATGTGTTAGCCAACTACTACAGCTCTCCAACAATTCGGGAATCAGGCTGGGTATACATAATCACCTCGGTAAATTGCTTCTCGACCTCGCCCAGAACTTCGCATATGCGCGTCTTGGCCCCAATGTCGGCATCTGACCCCGCGCCTGTTTCGACCCATAGCTTCGTGGAGGCGATGAGACCCTGAACGGAATCGTTGATGTACCCAAGGGCGTGGGCGTGCTGCGCCCTCCCAACAAGGGAGAGACAGTGCTGCCGCAGGGAGAGGATACCGCTTAGCTCGAGGTACGGAAGGGCCTCGCCACTTTCTCGGTTTCTATTGTCCCAATACAGCGTGTTGCTGACGCAGAAAATGTTGAGAGGTCTGGCCCCTGCTGCGAGCCTTTTGGAAAAGTTCCGCTGTAGGCCATTGGTGACGACCTCACTCCGATTGTTGATGAGGTATCTCGTGAGACTGCGGTTGGGGATTGGTGATTAATAGATATCTGCTTTGCGGCCACGGCATATAAAAGAACAACAGATTTCCTTGGAGTGTGAGAGTGTAAAATAAAACAGAAATTACCTTAGACTAACGTTGTTCCTTGTTTTCCTGGTGCACCATTGTGTCAATAGACGACAACGAGTACAGGCGAATTCCAAATGTAGACGACTTACCTCGCCTGGATCCTTTGCATGTCCAGGTTGTGCTTTTCACGCAACTCTGCCTCGTTCAAGTCGTCATGAATGTCGAACTCATCTTCGATCCTTCGCACCAGCTCGTCGAGATTATTCCTGGCCTTCTCCTCCTCACAAATCAGCTCGCTGATTCTCCGCTCCACCTCCACATCTCTGTCTTTCAGAGCCTCTGCGCGTTCCTCCAATGCATCGAGAACCTGGAGGATAATGTGCAATGCCTTGTCAGTCGGTCTTTTGGGCTTGGATCGAGCAAAAAAAAAAAGATGGGCCAAGGAGTGGTGGCTCACGTCCGTTTTGGTGCAAACAATTCCGATATTGTTCAGCCTGGCTTGCTCGCCGAGGCGGAAGATGCGCTCCACAGTTTCGTCCGTCTCTGCTCTACCAACCTCGCAAACTGCAAAAATTTCATCACACTGTCTCACGTATCGCTCAGCGAGCTTGCTACGGATTGGATTGGAATCACGCAATCCTGGGGAAAATATGTTTTGTTAGCATTGGGTGGGGCGTTAAAAAGGGTGTCGAACTTGCCGGGAAGGTCGACGAGAACAAGGCCTGTCTTCAGGATATGTGCTTTCAGGAATACGCTGTGAGAAAATGAAACCGGAGGAAGAGCTATTAGCTTGAGGCCGGCACGATGAAGGTTTTGGAAATTGATCAGACTTAGGAGGCTTACTTCACTCTTTTGATGAACGGCCAGCGTGCTCCTTCTGGGCCAGGATTTCTCGGGTCTGATGTCAATGTGAGAAGGGCACTAATGACTTCGTCGACGTCCTCGGCCACAATAGTGGAAAGACCAACTCGCTCCTGGGATGTGGCATCGAAGCGGGCAAGGAGCCACTGTGCAACATCCTCCTGCGTCCCATCGAGGAGCGCTGCCGTGTCAGCAAGGCTGAACATGACCTTCAGGGTGTTTTGCGCAAGGATCGAGGTGTCCTCCAGGCGTCGTCTGGTCTCCTCATCCGCGTGGATTTCAGCCCAATCTTGATTCTCAGGGTAGTTTCGATAGTCTGCGAGTAGCTGCTCGATCTGAGAGCAGATCTCCTCGCGGGTGAACCATTCAATCTTGATCTCGTAGTCGTTCCGGCCATGATAGCGATACTCGGTGACCACGCAAGTACAGGCGCCTCCACCGTTACTCTGTGTGTAGGCGATATCCACGACAAGATTAGCAAGCCAGAGGGAAGAGCAGGGATACGTTACGGATAAAATAAGGGTAAATGCTCACACTTCTAGCGAGGTTGGGAACATCGAGAATAGAGTTGATCAAGCTAGACTTTCCTGTTAGGAAAAAGCATTAGCCTTGTACTTAATTAATCTTGGGATGGAGGGCGGTTAGGGGCTTTTATGTTAGACTTACCAGTGCCGGAGCCCCCGACGAGACCAAGCATACGTGTAGCAGGCAGCTCAAAGCGAGATAGTCGAACAGCTTCATCTCCCAAACCCTTGATGAGGCTGGCATCTCCGTGGGTGTTTTCTGAAAGGACAGTGGCCAGTGCCATGACGATATCCCTGGTATCGGCAAGAGCTCTTTGGAAAGCCGGTCTGTGGAAGGGCTCCTCTGGGGGCTCTTCGTCGGCAAGCTCGTGCCGGGCACGTCGTCTTTGGTTCACTCGAGGTGGACATGGGACCGCGGTGGCGGATAGCGTCACTGAGGAGGGAGGAGGGGCATTACTCCGGGTCTGACGCTGGCGCCCCGTCTGTTGACGGGCATGCAGATTGTTAGCCGATGTAGTATGATTAACACACGGAGAATCTTCCCCTACAGGAACCAGCGCAGACTGTCGTCCCTGCCAACTTACGTTAACCATCGCGAATAGCTAAGGGGTCCCTGCTGGTCCCAGCTAGGGTGACGAAGGGGCGAGGGTGTAGGAAACTGTGAACGTGGTTGATGGCTGGAAACAAAGGAATGCGATATGATGTCGCTGTATCATCCTGTAAGGGAAAAAAGATAAGCAGAAGATGTACGGAACATGGATGGCTGCCTTTAATACTACATACGAGGCAGCGAAGCTCTCGTTCCCATACCACCCTGGCGTAACAGGCCTCCACTGCGCCTCCCTCAGGCTGTTTACTAGTCTGTCAGCTCATCTGCCTTGATTTGATCAAACGGGGCAGGAGGCATCGGGCAGCCCGTCTTGGTGGTTGTGACATGTGGGTGCATTATTTGTTGCAGCGTTGTAAGTTGGCCGCCTTGCAAGGCCGGTGACGCCGAACCAAAAAAAAAAAAAAAAAACTTAGGGAATAACTATTGTCTGCATATTGGAGCATTAGAAACCAATGGCCAGGTCCAATTTTATCGCAGCCGTTTCGCAGAGGGAAAGGAGGAGGTCAACAAAAAGGGGAAATCTGGCCCAGGGCGCCTAAAATCTGCAAGTTCCAGGATCTCGTGCAAGATGGTGTGCAGGAGGAAGTTGAAAAAGGGGACGCATTTGTGGGCCGGCTGGGTATTTCCAGCCAATAAAGTTATGCAGAGCTTTTTTACCACCACCCCTAGATACACCTCTTACCAGCTTAGGTGCGAGAAGGGAGATGTTTGCCTGAAGGCTGAGGGTACTCGCCTCCCACCCCTGGTCTGCCACCGTCGTTTCCCTCAACGAGGTTGGACAAAGCACCAGTATCTGTGCTCGTACAAGCCCGCGGTCCGCTCCAATATGGCCAAGCAAAATGGCGTTTACCTAGCCGTCATCGACGCCCTGTAAGCCTGCGTCCTGCTCGGCCGGCAGTCCAGTCTCGCCATTCGTCCGGATGCCACTCCCCGCCGCGACATGTGCCTCAGCCATGCGTTGTCTCCCCTGCGCCGAGGACCTAGAGTTCGTCGGCAAGATTCGTTCCTGTCAACTATCGTCGATATCCTTCAACTTCCTGAGAGCTAGCGCCTGTCTCTTTTTTTGCTAGGCCATACAACGATCCGATCCATCGTTTTTCCCTCTGCCCTCATCCACCCGCATCCGCGACCCTCCCCACCAATATTCCATCAAGTTTGAATGGGAGTTACAGGCGGGTAGCGTGGGTCCCGAATTGCCTGCTGGCAGCTAACGCTTTCGTAACTTCTGGTCTAGTAAAGTCGGCCAACACCACCAGCCTGTAGGACTGGCCAAAAACTTGAGCTGTCAGGATGGCTGGAGGCCTTCCGGGAAGTCGCCGCTGCCTGAAACCCTCTCCGGCCAGTCGCAGCTGGCCCCAGCAATGCGCGCAGTTGAGTGCAGATGCGAAAATATCCTGATTTGGCATATTTAGGCCGTACTGTTGGGGAAGCAGAAGCGCTAAAAGCACATTTCGTCCAAGGATAATGCATATAGGTTGAAATACAGATGGGTGTATGGGGTAGGGCGCAGCAGACGGCCGTTGGATGGTAGGGGAACGCTTGGCTGGGAGCAAAGGGGAGCAAAGGCATCCGTTTTGGGAGGCGAAAGCCTCCGTTTCTGGAGGCCTGGGATCCTATTTGCTCTTAAAATCTCTAAATACCAAAACATATGAGGGCCAAACTAGTACACAAGTGGGTGACAACTAGGGAATCCTTGGTGTTGTATATATATTTTTTCTGACTACCAAAAAAATAGCAGCCGCTGTGACAAAGAGCCCAAGTCTATCGCTAATCCTGCAATGGCTACAAAACTATGACCTTTTGATAGCATGAGCCAGCCGTATCTCAAAGTCGGGTTTGACGCTGGAGAATCTAAAAGCCTCCTCGGCGCCTAGCATCTCGGCTACACCATGAACCGCTTTATACATATCCTCCCCGGCACCACTTAGCACCGGCTCTGGATAGACGAAAACGCGACGGGCGCTGTCCCAGCAGAAGGAGCCGGGATCGTATATGGTGTTGTCTCGGAGCTCCCAGCTCCCAGACCACACGTCTGGCTGCGGGTCGTACAAGAGGCGCAAACGCCACTGGGGCAGGTCGAGCCCGAAAAGCAGAACGTCGTTGTCGCCGCTGAAGAGCGCCCGGGGTAGGGCAACGGCCACCAGACGCGAATCGATCTGAAAGCCGTCACCGCCCGTCCCGGTCCAGAGGTTCCACGGCGCATTGACGAAGTTGTCGCCGACCTCGGCCGTCGGGATGTAGATGGCGTCGTGGGACGGATCGACGGGGCGCGTGATGACCAACGCCCCCGGGATGTCAACATCATGGTTGGCATCGGTCACCGTCGTCGTCGTCGTTGTCGTCGTCATGCCGTCGCCGCCTCGGCACCCAACTGTATATCCCCTCTTCCGGGCCCATGCGACCGCGACGCGCCGGGCCTCGCGGTTGACGTCGAGCAGCGGGGTGTTGTTGACGGCGATGTCCGACGCCGAAGACGTGGTGAATCGCGACGTCAAGTTGTCCCAGCCGTCGGCCTCGGCATACCACTCGTCGTCGGGCGACCAAGAGCCGCGCACCCAGGAGCCCTCGACATAGGGGAACAGCACCGGACGGCCGGGCTTAACGGGCAGGGCCTCGCGCCAGACTTGCTCGCGCAGCTAAAGGGGGAGGTCTGCGAATGCGCGGAAGGTGGGACTCGGAATAACGGCTTGCATTGCGTTCAATCTTTTTTTTTAGGTGTAAGCTTTTGCGCAAAGTGTCGACAGGTAGAGAGGTGGTTTAATTGACGAAAATGCCCGTGGATTCAAGAAAGGATGTTGGCCGAGGAGATTGATGGTTTTGGGGCTTCGTTGGGAGACCGAAGTAAAGGCTGGGCGTTTCTCCTCGCCGGGATAATAAACGCAAACAGTCTAGCTAGGTGCTGTAGTCAGAATGACCACCTACGTAGAACAAGGGAACAGACAAGCATCCAAGAGTATTGTTGTGAACGCCTGCCCGTAGGGCTGGCCAAAGGCTCGCAGCGGCTAGGATGGTTGGAGGCCTTTCCCCAGGGAAATCGCCGCTGATGCGTATGGGTTTGAACCCAAGTGGTTGTGTAGGGCGTGGCGCAGCAGACGGCCGTTGGACGGCAGGGGAACGAACGGTTGGCTGGGGGCGGAGGGGAGCATAGGCATCCATTTTTGGGGGGTGAAACCCTCCGTTTCGAACTAGGACTCAGGTGTGTGACCCCTGGGGATTCCTCGGTGTTGTATGTTTTTTTGTCCCTTATCTCGGATTGTTGCGTGAATTTGGGTGGTATAATACCAGCCGTTGACAACGGTTGCTGGCGGCGCAGGCGCAGTCATGATAGAAATGATATAGGAAACTAACGAATATGCAGTCAGATAATAAGTAATCTGACCATACCTAATGTGATAAATTATGCAACGTGGTTTCGATCAGTGAGCGGCAGACACCAAACCGTGCACTATTTTCAACGCCAGCCACTTGGGGATTCATGAAACCTCCACCGCTCGTCGAGCCATCTCAGTGCTCTCCATGCTTCTCCTAGATCCTGGAGGGCACCTTGTAGGACTCGTCTAGCCTCCGGAGCAGATGCTGGGATGCAGTCTCTACTGCTTCCGCATCGATGTCCCTGCTATTCCTGCTACCAAAGGGGGTGAGAGGGCAGTCGGCGTTGCCGTCAAAGAAGAAGGGGATCGAGTAGCGGTGGGTCGAGCCCAGGTTGAGGACGCGGTGCACGGTGCTGCGGTAGGCGCCCTCTGTCCAAGCATTGAGCATGTCGCCAATGTTGACCACGTAGGCGTCGGGATTGGGCGGCACGAGGATCCAGGAGCCACGCTCCCGCGGGTTCTTAACCTGCAGACCGGGGGCTGTCTGGTAGAGAAGAGTGACGGCGCCTGTGATAGGGGTTATGTCATGATACGATTAGTCCCACCGGCATATAGGCTATATACAATAGCAGAGACACATATAGAACAAAAAAGAAGTACGTCGAAGAGCGTACCAAAGTCGGTGTGAGCACCAGCACCCAGCTGCCTCGGGTCCCGCGACGTCTGTGGCGGGTAGTGTAGCATGCGCATGATGCAGACTGGGTCGTCGGAGACGAAGTCGTCGAATATGTCGTCGCCGTACGGCAGGCCCTTGGCCAGAATCTTGAAGACGGTGAGCGAAAGGGCGAGGACGGCGTCGTAGTACTCCTCTACGGGCCGCTTGAAGTCGTCCTCGTGCAGGGCGCTGGGGAACAGGTTGGGCCCCATCAGGCGCGGGTGCTTCTTGACGCGGGGGTCTGACATGTCCATGTGCTTGCCCAGGTAGTAGCCCTCCTTGAGGTCTGGCTTGAAGCCACGCTGCAGCGTCTGGCCGCCGAGGACCTCGTAGCCGCGGTTCTTGAGCGTCGGGTGCACCAGGTCCATCTTGTCGTCCAGTGGCAGTGCGAAGAGACGCTCGGCAGCGGCCATGGCGCGGTCCTGCAGCGAGCGCGGCACACCGTGGCCGACCAGGGAGAAGAAGCCCGTGTTAAGGCAAGCGTCCCGCACCTGCTCGACCACCCGGGCAGACGCGGCGGCCTCGGCTGCTGTCCGCGGCTCGGCGCGGAAGCCGCTGATGTCGACCGTGGGGATTGTGGGCGGCGATGACGAAAGGGCAGAGGGCCCAAGGCCGCAGCGCGGGTCGTCAAACTCAGTCATGATGGCAGCCATGATGTTGATTTTTTTTCCGTTTGTCTTTTGTTTCCTCTGCTAACAGCAAGCTGTAAGATGTTGAACATGGGTGGCAAGAGGCTAGATGTTGTATGCCTAACCTTCAGACCGTTGACAGAGAAGTGGGCTTGTCCCCCGGGACCCTTTTATACGCGGGGGAAGGGAAGGAGGGGGTGAGTGGTGAAGGACGGGGTGACAGATGGCAACTTCAACCAGATGTGTGTCCGGAACGACTTTACCCCAAGTGCCAGGCCTGATCGGCGATGAGGAGCAGGATGTAATGGCAGAGACTCGTCCGATAGCGCGGCACGGCGGTCCATCACACGAGGCTGTAACCCCTTGCAGGCGGGGTCAGGCAACTTCCCTCCTCAGGCGCGGGCATACGGTGAGCATCTCGGAAGACGCCCCCTGAATCCCGCTCACTGTAAAAGGCCTCGATATCGGAGCCCAGCAGCTGGGGGGTGCGGCGCCAATGGCAACGTCAGCCAGGGCAGCTGAGGACGAGTACAACGCCGGCGAGATTGGGTCGCGAGTGACAGGCCAGGACGAACCGTGACGTTTTTGTTGCAGTGACCAGAGCAGGAGCGGGCGTGAGGGTGAGCACTGACTGCAAGTCGAGAGCAGAAAGGTGGGGGCCTGTTCGCGCAGCTCGAATGGATGACACGGCGCTGCTGCAGGCGCTGCTGCACAGATGCGGCAGCCACGAGGCAGGCGTCAGGCTAGAGCTCCTGCCCGCAGCAGGCGACATGCCCAAGCTCAACTCTGCTGGGGGGCCCAGCCGCGAGTTGAGTGCACAAAATGGCGCGCCATTGGCCGCAGCCGGGCGGAGCACGCCGGTAGCCGACAGGCGACTTTTGCTCCCAACACACTGGGCGGGCGGCGCAGGCCAGCGCCAGGCCAGGGAAGGGGCACCATGCATGGATGGAAGGCACGAGGGGCATCCAAGGCCGGCGCCGCATTTGCTCGTCTGCCCTGTCGCCAGCACCAAAGGGGACTGGGCCGGCACAAAAGAGGCAATTATGTGATGCACAACTGCTACACCAAGCCCAGGAACCATCCAATGCGCCAACTCAAAATGGCCGTGGCGGCGGGGCCACGTCGCAGCACGAGAAAGGAACCAAGCAACCCTTTTGGCCTCCCACGCCCCCCCTCTCGAGGCCTCGCACGAACAGGCGGTCTCGTATAAAGCGGCCCATCTCCGGTTCATGGATTGTGCACGCCCACGTCCGGGGCGCCATTCTCACGTCGTGGCTCGACCGCCTCAGGAAGCACAGGACAGAAAACGCCCGCTCCCATCGGCCGCCGGCATGAACACGGTAGGGAAAACTGGGAGCACGGCACTGTCGGACACTCCCACAGCCTCTCCCGTCCGAGGCATGGCGCCGTGGCCCAAGCGGAGGGGGAAGGCATGCGCCACCCGTTTCTGATACTGCCTGTTGGCCGGCTGGCAGGCATCTTGGCGCCGGAGAAGCTAAGGCAAAAAGCAAGAAGGAAAGAAAAAAGGCGCACGCGGACACTGCCGGTGGCGGGCGCATGACAGGCAGCCTTTCGACACATGGTTTTCCGGTTTGGTCTTAGTGGCTGATCGCGCGGCGGCGCCATGCGCGCCCTCTCCCACATGTCGTCCGCGCCGTCCGCCTCCTCATTTTTCGGGACGGCGAGGTTTTTAGGCAAAGCGTCCGATGCATGCCAAGCAGAAACGAAAAGTCAAAGGAAAACCCCCAACGGGGAGCCGAAGCATCGTCATAGTGATGGGCACCTGACGATTCTCCCTGACACACTGATGTCGAGGGCTAGCAGAGTAGATAGGATAGAGATGTATATAACGGCATAACATCATATCGTATAGATGACGAAACAAAAAAGGTTGACCGTTGGGAAACCTGTGTGGTCTGCTCCGGACTGATATTAAAGCTCACTGCTCTAAAGGTTGCCATCTACCAAACCTGCCCAGTGGTTTTTTAGGTTGCTTCGGAAATTTGCTAGAAAATTTACCTGCGCACCCACACGAGTGATCGAGCCCGTGCCTCCATGACAAGCGTGGGACATAGTGAGGCTGAGCCCTCGTTTGATATATCAGATTCCTGGCATCGCCTGTCATTTGGCAAGTGACATGCTGTCTAACGTCGTTCCGCTTGGGGGTTGCCACCCGCCGGGTGTCTTGAGGATATATCGAGCTTCCCCTTCGACAGTTCACCCACCCAATCGTTTTATGGATGGCATATATCAGGCATATGGCCCGGCGGAACCGCCAAACATGGACGATGCGACCGTATTCGTAAGCAATCTCAGGGGTTGCCTTGGTGCAAGTAAAGCAAGATCCGTCCCAGGAAGAAAAAGATTGAGGACAGTCCATCTTGCCGTCCCGCGAACGTTACAGTACTCCCGCAAAGCGGTGCCCATGGGGCGAGCTTGTGGCGGCAGACCCCCGTGGGGGAGCACTCTGATGTGGTTCCGGGACGGCCCCTACCCAGGAACGAAGTTTGCAATGTGGGTGATCCTGTATCCCGCCAGCGTGACAACGAAAAGGAAAGAAACAAGAGGCAAGCCCCAAACTGGTGTAGGAAGTCAGACCCGGGAACAATGGACCACTGGGTGGCATGTCAACGCTCCTGCGCGAACCGCATATTCCTAGAGAGCGGCTGAACCAGAGCGCCGGCTTGATCAATGCCCATGCGCTCGCATGTGCGATAACTGACCCGGGGCCACAGCCTCAAACAGATGCTCGTGCGCAGCTGCCACGAGACGACGGGCCGGCGTTGTAAGAAGAAGAAAAAGGAACGGACAAGAGGCCAGAGACGACGGGGGGTACCTAGACGAACGCGGATCGACAGCTAAGAGGTGACAGGTGTCCAAGACGGTCCTGATCTGCAGAACGAAACCCGCCAGGTGCTGATGCGTGTCCGACCTTTCTGGGCTTCCGCAATGGTCGGGCATTACCGTCAACGACAAAAATAGCAGCACTTCCGAACGGCGCCGTGGTGTGTTTCGGCGTGTCTCCCCTAGCTGGCGATGCGGTGGTGGGAAGGGAAGGAGGAAACAGAAGCAAAAAAAAAAAAAAAAACGCAACAAGGAGAGGCGCTTGGCACATTTGTGCCATGCTCGGTTCTCGTTTTGCGTCCTCTGTTTTCCCTTTTCTGGTCCGAAAAGGCCCGGTAGCTGGTGTGGCCTCAAGGGCCACCATCACAAACAACGTCTATGGTTCCCCTCCTCCGCCACCGTCGTCGAGCATGAAGGGGAACGGACCGCCTGGCCGATGCAACAGCGTTGGACCGCAGAGACAATTGGTGGCCGCTTCGGGGGAGCCACCCAAAGTTGCCTGGAATCGGGGTCGATTGATAGCCACGCCAATGCAGCGTCGCTGCCATGCCCGGTTCCGGAGCCGCTTGGCTAGGTTGGCGAGTTGTTTGTTGCATGCTCTGCGAGAGAGGCGGCATCGCGCGAACCTCGGCCGCGAACGTGACGACGGGTGGAAGGGCCTCAAAAAACCCCGAGGGAGAATTGATCGGCAGGGACAACAACAGCCACAGAATGGGCTTGCGTGATTGATGGACAGCAGGGAAGAATACGACGGAGCCTCGGCTGCGAGGGGGGAGGGGCGTTGATCGCGGCTGGATTTCCCAACGAGGCGCAACTCGGGTATGCCGGTACCAGAGTTGGCCCAGATGGAGATGTGCTCTACTTGAGGCAAAAGAGGCCCATAGCCGAGATAAAGAGCGACCCCAAACATTTCTTCCTTTGTCATCGTGGAGCGTAAACGCTCGCGCGAGCCCGCCCTCTTTTCAGGCTACTGTCCTTGTCTCATCAGGGGTACAAGCCGAGGGAACCCCTGTCTGAGGGCCATCATCCCCTGGCCTGGACGGTTGACATGGGGGAGCCCTGACGCCACGTTCCGGTTTGCTGGAACCGTCTGTCCACCCCCATCCCTCACCTATAAGCCATCAAGGGCGGGTATTATCACAGCTTGAGGCCTGCCACGTCAGTGAACGAATGAATCGGGCCTTTGCAAGTCGGGTTGCCGGTGCCGGTACCGTCACCATCAACGTTACCACCGACCGCCTCGGCGACGCCAGCGTCCCCGCCGGCTCCGTCGCGCAGTCGGCTGGTGCTTGTGAAACGGGGAAACATGGCGAAAAACACCCAAAGAGCAAGGGAGGAACAGCTAATGGTTGGCCCCTCTCCTTATAATGCGCTTTTGCGGTGGTGGTTTTGTGAGAGCAATTGGGGTGAAACCAAACCAAACCAAACCAAACCAAACCAAACCAAACTAGAGGAGAAAGGCCGCCGCATGAACAACCCGCACATGTGATCGCCGCAAAGCCCACTCTCGTCGCTCCCCCCCTCCTGATTGAAGATATATTGGCGGCTGCTATGAGGGTGTGGTGGGAGGGAAGAGCCTGCGAGCGGCGGGCGCTATAGGTGGAGAAATAATATCCAGCAATTAGGGATGTGTGGCGCGGCTCTTTGATGATTCCGGTACTTCATATACGAGGCCGTAACCAGACAACGAGGGTTGGTGGGTGTGGCCAAACAACTGCGGCTGCGACTGCAACTGCATGCCATATGCAGAAATTCCAACAATGCGGCGACTTCTCTAAGCACAAATGACGATATTAGGTGGAGACAGACGGGCCACAGCGACGGGATCGGGGTATTAGCCTAGAGGATATAATACCGATGAGGATCTTGACTCGGGCTTGTTCGTTAGGCCTGTCCTGTCTACCGACACACCCAGCCAGGGCTAACGACGGCCACGCGGCTGGGGGGCATCTATCATAGCCAGATGAATCAGGGTAGCGCGGCCCCAACGCCATGAAGGCGAGGGAATCTGTTCGTTCGGCAGTCAAGCGCCATTTGAGACCAGCCGGCCGATTAGCCTAGCGCAGACCACAAGCCCGCATCTTCTGGGTCGCCAGGCAGGCGGCGGCTGAACTAAGGCCATCTCATCTGCCTGCCCATCTGCCTGCTCATCTGCCAGGAGAAGCCTCGTATTGTTGTTTTTTTCCCGACTGCCCTTGGTTCAGGTTACGCGAGGGCGAGTTTGTAAGCGAGGGGCTCGCAACTATGGCGCCTCCATTGTGAGGGAGGGCGGGCGCCACGCTACTCCAGGTCGGCGACCATTACCGATGTTTGTGTGGGCGTGCCGGGGACCTGAGAGAGGGAGAGGGAGAGAAAGACCGGTTGGGCGGGGGCTTGGCTGTGTCATGTTGCGAACCGGTCCGTTGCGATCTCTGGGAGCGGTGGGGGCCTGGCAACGCGATGGCTGGGCCCGGGCAGACCCACGGGCGATGCGCCTATGGAGACGTGGGCCGGACGGGTCAAAGAGTCCGATCGAACCGGCGGGCGCGCCGCTCCAATGTCGATTTTTTTTTTCTTTTCGCACCTCGTCAGGCGCGCGCCTCAAGGGCAGCAGCGGGGGGTGGTGAGGGTTGCCATCCGAGGTGACCATGGGCTGGACTGGACGGACTGGAGTCGCATCAGCTATCGAGCATCTCTGGCTGGGTGGTGGTGCGCTCGCGCGACGGTGCTCGGCCCTGCCATCCATCGAGATTGGCTGGTCTTCATATGCTCGGGCCTCGGCCAGAATTTCTCCGCTTGGTACTGGTGCTGCCATGCGGTCGTAGTGCATCCTTCGCCGTGCTTCCATTGCGACCCTGGCCGTGGGCGGTCCCTTTGGTAGCATCTAGGTAGGTGGTAGATATCTACAGTACCTCTGCTGCTCTAGGTAGGTACCTGTGCGGGTAGGGAGGGTATGGAGGTCAGCTGTCGACGCCGACGCGGCACACGTCTCCATTTAGCACCTGCTCCCGTCTCCTGCTCGGGCGACGAACTAGCCGCGACCAAGGAACAAACCCACGAAACCACAAAGGCAACATGGTATGATGGGCAGACCGGCCCTTTGGTTCACTGGTTCTCTGGTCCGGCCCAGGCGCTGGTGCAGACCAACGCGGGCGGACTAGTTGGATCTGGAAAGCAGCCCGGCCTGGGCATGTCAGTTTAGGTCACATTGGGCGCGATTTCGGGAAGGAAGTGCGCCCTCCACCGGCGCTGCGACCTTTCAGCGGGCCAGTTTCTGAGCCGGCTTGTTGGTGATCAGGGGCAGCGGTCCAGGGCTGCCCGAGCACGAAGGACGTCGTCCTTGCCCGTTCGCCTGGGGCCGTGGGGTTTGGTTGGCGGGGCTGTGTGTGTTTTTACTGTATGCTCTACTGGGGTTGGTTTTTTCTGCCATGAGTTTACAGTACGCGGGCAGGCAACAAACAGGCTTTACAATGTCGCTGGAAACATCTGGTGACACCCAAAAAAGCAATTAATTCTAGTTGACTCTTTCTGGGCCGTGGTTGGATTGATGGTTCTAGGCTCCAGGCTCTAGGCTCTAGGCTCCAGGCTCTAGGCGCACTAGCGAGGCTCAGGTGGCAGAGCTGAATTGGATTTCAAGGTTGATTGATTCCACCTTGATTCAGGTGAGAGTCGTCCAGTGTGGGCATCCCTGCCTCGCCAGCCGCCTGGCTCCCTGCAAACAAAGTTTTTATTTAGCTACAGCTGGCTGCCGGCGCCCACGTCCGTCCGCACTCCAGTGGGCGGCAGGTGCGTGGGGTGCGATTGTCGGTCGTTCCATCCCTGACCCCGCGTGCCTGTTCTGGTTTTGAGACGTTATCAATCTCCGCTACCAAACCCCAGCCCCGACTTCCTCTTCAGCCCACCCACACGAACCAACCCACCTGCCCTGTCGCAGCTCTTTCTCCCACTCTCGCGCCCAGTGAGCGCCCGATGACGATGCGCCCGACGCCCTCCCCTCCCCGGTCGCAGGCCCGAGCGACGTCCGTCACGACGGTTGACCACCGCGGGAGCAAGGATAGGGCGGGCGGCTCGCCTGCTCGCTCGCTGAACCTGCCTACCTGGGCATCCGCGAGCGTCGCTAGGGGGCGCGAGAAGCGCTCCAGCCAACAAACCCCAACTTCCGGCCAGCCGAACCAGCCGGCCAGCCCTCCCATGTCTGGCCCTCCTCTGGAACTGGACAAGAGCTCGACATTCTGCCGTGGCCACGAAAAAACCAGATTTTTTTTATGACCGCTATGTATGGGAGCCGTGGACGAGTGTCTCACAAGCCTAATATAGGCGCGTTGAGTGATCGGAAAAGACCTTTGTCAAAGCGCTATAGTTGGCCTGACGGCATATACGTACATGGCTTGTCGCCATGGCTGAGGTGTCCATCAAGGTCGAATTCAAGCATGACATGCATCACCTTTCAGGGATGCAAAGGCCTCGCCTGGATCGCAGCTAGAAAGCCACATGCATGCTGATCTCACACCCACTCACAGACGGACGGCGTGTCTGCTGGCCTTCCCAATTACGGCGGAGCATAGCCATATCGACGGCCCATGGTTCTGACCAGAGCCCTAGCGTCCGTCCACAAATGCCCAGTGCCCCATACAGCCGGGACCCTTGTCACTTTTGTGCACACCCCCTCTTAGCTGCACCCCGGCCAGCGGAGGCGCTAGTGCAACTCGGGTCCTCTGCTGTCCTACGTGATTATGTACATGCCCCGATTCCGCCAATGCTGCTCCTTGTCGGGAACCCTCCTGCCGAAAGTTGGAGGAGGGGCCGAGTAACTTTCAGGGCTTTCCTGGTGCCACGCCAGGCACTTTGATCCAGAACTCACTTCATGTATAAGGCGCCGGCTTGCTCCTCATCCTCCTGCTCGTGACTGGGGATCTAGATGTCCAACCTTACATGACACCCTACCCACCAGCCCCTATCGTCTGTTGTGCCAGCCCTTGTTCGCAACCATGCACTTTGTTCCCGCTCTACCTGGCTACCAGCATGGCGCTGTTCTCCGCCATCAGCTGCCGTCGCCCGCAATATCTCCTCCGCCGACGCATGTCTACCATGAGATGCCGGACGCCTACAGCTCAGTGCCATTGGCGCTCGAGACGCTGTCTATCCACTCCGACAAGTCAAGCTACTCCCCCAGGCACGCGCGGCGGCAGTCCGCAGGGTACCCTGCCGCACCCTTCAGCAGGCGTGCCTCCCTAAGTGAGGATGACATGCCGGCTGCGGCCCGCCGCAGGGACGGCCGCGGCGGCGGCATCGCCTCGCCGGCGCGCCTCGCAGCCTACAAGAAGCTGGGGCGCATGCCGGAGCACTCGGAAGTTTACCAGGCTGGTAGGAAACTGGTGCTGAAAACGGGACCAGATGTCACGCCGCAGGAGGCGGGCACTCTGAGGTACCTCTACGAAAAAACGAGCGTGCCAGTGCCTGAGGTGCTAGACTTTGGCATAGACCCAGAGACAGGGCACTACTACATACTGATGGAAGAGGTCGACGGCGAGCCCCTGGATCTCGTCTGGGACTTACTGGACGACGAGACGAAGGCCAAGGTTGTAGCCCAAATACGCGCAATCTTCCTGGACCTCCGGAGCATCAACGACCCCGAGATCTGCGGCTTCGTCCCCGAGACCGACCCCTCAGGCCGCCCGATCCCCGGCCGGTACGCCAGGTCCGGCGTCACCGACAACTTCTTCGCCCGGCCCCAGGGCCCCTTTGACAGCGAGGGGGGGCTCCTGCACGCTCTGGCGGCGCACCTGCAGCTCCGGGGAGGGCCCGCCAGCTGCTGGCTCGACCGGGTAGTGCTCCCGCTGCTCTTCAGCATGCCGCCGCACCCGCCGCTCATGGTGCTGACGCACGGCGAGCTCAACGCCAAGAACATCCTGGTGCGCCGCGACGGCACCGTGGCGGCCCTGCTGGACTGGAGCCAGTCCGGCTTCTACCCGGTCTACTGGGAGTTTGTAAAGGCCTTCTTCGGCGACGTCGAGTCGTCCGTCCTCGTGCGGGACAATGTCGTCCCTCACGTCCTGGATCGGCGGTATGACGCCGAGTTGGCCGTCATGCTGTTGGCCAAGGACATTATATGGTAAAATCAGGGCTTTCCTGTTTTTATAAAAAGCGATTGTTCCAGTCTCTTCTTTTTTTTTTAATTGCTTACTACACCCACGAGACAAACGAGTTTGTACGACTACTGTGGCTTGACAGAGCTGCCCTACTGGCGGGTGGGGCGCTCTAGCCTGCCGATTTTTCTTTATCGTCTTGGAACGGGCACGACAGCACGACGCGTGCTGGCACGGAAGGGTGGTTATTCGGGATCATGGGGGTCGGTTGTGGCTAGGGGCAAGTTCACACAGCACCACGTTGGGGGGTTGGCAATGTTCCTGCGTTTCTTCTTTTTCTCACTTGTTTGACTTTGTCACTTTTCTTATCGGGGTAGCTTTATTTCCTTGAACTTATACCCCTCTGTACATTATTCCTGCAGTTGGCCTGGATGGACTTCCTCTAATTCACACTAGTTCTTTGTTCCAACTTTCGATGACACTCGAAGCGGACGTGTCAGGCATCACAGCATAAGCTCGATCCCTTGTCCTGGGAATCAGGGGCTTATAAACGCCATTATAAACCAACTACATACGCCCGGCAACGATCAGTTGCCTGTCCGTTGCTAGGTGCCTATGCTCGAGCGATTCTATGGCAATGTAAAGCAGAATGTTTCCCTACAAGGTTTCGTCTATTTCATCTGATATGAGCAAGTGTTTCTCAGGCCTTCACCACGGAACATGGCAGTGTCTCCCAGGTGACTATCTTGATTTCTGTTGTCCGGCCTAGGCATGTCGTTGCTTATGGCTTTTCTATGGCGCCTGCATTCGTAAAAGCATCGACCCGGCCGAGCACTGACCCAGGGGCAAAACATACAAAAATTGCGGGCAGCTGGTGCCTTTATATATACCTTGACCCGAGCTCTCCCAAAAAGGCAGCTCAAAGGCAGCCAGCCAGCGTAAATTTTTTTTTAAAAAAAAACCTAGCTCAAGCCACCGATTTGGTGGCGCGACTCTACACGGCAGCTCTGTAACCTACGGCCGGAGGGCTGCTCGGGTAACTGTAAAAAAAAAGGGGGGCGTGGGTCGAACCTGGTGACGATGGGCTTTGCGAGTCCCGGTGAGGGTTCGGTAAACTACGGCGAGGCTGGGAGGCGGAGGGCGATAACGATCTCAACGCCCTGACCTGACTGACCGGCTCTTCAAACCTAATCGACCCGCCACCCCGCCTGCCACGTTTGCCATACATATAGCTGGTTCTCCCAAGTTAATACGAGCGACTCTGACTCCATGTACGGCCTTTGGCGATAGACTAGCAACAGATACCCACGAGTAAAAGCTAGATTGCAACTCATTCAAAGCCCCAGGCTGACGCGACGCGTTATCTGCAAATTTTATCTTGCGAAATATATGCATGTCAAAGACTATCATGTTTGCCTCTAGGCGTTTCTATACGTTTCTAGACGGTTCTAGCCATGATATTCTCCCCGAAGTTGGTTTAGTGAGCCATGCCTGTGGCTGCTTGCGTGCTGCTATGGATAATGAAGCCCCCGTCGCCACTTCCCATCATCTGAAAGCTGTTTCTCTGAGGCTGAGGTGGTCTTGCTCTTACACAGCCGCGTCGTCTGCCGATATCTCCTGATGACACGCGACCAGAGGATCTGGCCTCATACGGTGTCCGCATGCATAAGGTTTTGTCTCGGTGGAGCTTAATTAGCCGCGACGTGCGCTTATTTTCATGCCCACGTTCACTTGGCCGTACCACGGAGTAATTCTGCCTGATTTTTATCGGCCATGATGCCATAGAGGCTGTGTCGCCTTCTCAAGACCCGCACGGGGGCGTGTGCGTGTTGCTTCTAGCAGACTCTGCAAGAGGCCTCTCCGTGATCCTTACTATCCCCCGGTGGCTACTTAGTTTTCAGGACCCAGAACGCTTCGCTGTCCACAAGTCGTCGCACAGGGCCGCCAAAGAGGTCTCGATACCTGCCTAGGCCCTCTCGGCGGCCCCTGGACCCCCGCGATGCCCGCCGTTTTCGCCTGCGCTCTCGTTCCCGTCGGCGCCCTCGAGGAGCCTCTCGAGCTCCGCCTTCTCCCGCTCGTGGTTCTTGAACAGCACCAGCAGGCCAATGTCGTACGAGGCCTTGAGCGAGCCGGCGAGCACAAAGGCGACCCAGAAGAAGCCCCGGTCGGCGAGGACGCCGGTGATCAGGGGCCCCAGGCTCTGGCTCATCGTCTTGGTCGTGTTCAGGATCCCCAGCACCGCCGTCCGCTCCGAGGGCAGCACGATGGCGGCCAGGAAGGCGGAGCGGGGGCCCACGTCCATGGACGCGGTGCAGTGCCGGGCGATTAGGAAGAACAGGGCGAGGTGCAGAGGGCCGAGCGGGATGAGGGCGAGGAATACCGAGGACGGCAGGTGCGTGAACACCATGGTCTGGGGGGGCGGTTCCGTTAGTGCTGATGAGCGTGTGCGAGGAGGGGGGGGGGGGGGAATAGGCTGCCGCTTACGTTGATGTTCCCGATTCTTCTGGCGAGCGAGGTAGCCACCAGGATCGAGATGGCACTGATGAAGCTGGTGATGGAGAATATGGAACCCAGGGCGCCGGGCTCCAGGCCGTGCCTCGACTTGAAAAAGTAGCTGATCCAGGAGACGGACACGAGGCTGCTCGCGAACGAGTCGAGCGAGAACAAGAGACAGAGATTGATGATCACGATGCGACTCTCGCGGCCAATCTCGGGTAGGAGGGCCAAGAGGCCTTTTCGTCGAGGTTTGGGAGGTTGCCGCTGCTCCTGTTGCTGCTGTTGCGGACCTGCCGCGTCGGCTCGGCCCTCGCCCTGCGCCCCAAGCAGGGGCTCCCTCTCCCCCTCCGCCTCGTTGTGGCCACCGTGGTCGTCGGGCTGTGCCTCGCTCCGGCTGCTAAGGAACAGGCACATGACGAACTTGACGGCGCCGCACGCGGCGTAGCCGGCGAAGATGGCCTGGTAGGCCGCCACCTCGGACCACCCCCGGTCCTGCAGCAGCTGCACCAGCCAGCCGCCGCCGGCCATGCCGATGGCGACGGCGAGGAGCCCCAGGAGCTTGTACCAGGCGTAGACGTCGGCGCGGTCGGCGGGGGCCGTCAGCTGGGCCACGACGCTCTCCTCGATGGACCTGAACGGGCCCGTCTCGTTGGCGGTGGGCGAGATGACGCCGAGCACGGCGGCCGCCAGCAGGACCCAGTAGGACCCGGACAGCGCAAAGGCCAGGCCCGACAGGGCCATGACGGCGGCGCCCGCGGCCAGCACGGCGCGGCGGCCGAGCGCGTCGGCCACGAGGGTCAGCAGCAGGCTGAGCAGGGTGTCGCCGGCCAGGGTGAGGGACAGAAAGACGCCGCAGCGGGCCTCGGACGCGCCCAGAGCCCGCAGGTGCGGCAGCAGCACCAGCGTCGACGAGCCGTAGGCCGCCATGCGCACGAAGCGCTGCACCATCAGCAGCTTGGTGTCGGGCCGCGCCCGCGCCAGGGCCGCGATGCCCATCTCCTCTAGGGCCGCGGCGGCTAGCCTGCGGGCCCGGCCGGGGGGAGCTGGTGTGCTCACCATTGTGCCTCTTTTTTTTTTCTGGGTGTTTGTCTTGTTGGCGTCCTTGTGGTTGGACTGGGTGCCAGGAGAAATACGGCACCTTGGCCCTAGTAGATTTATATACTGCGTCGGGGCAAAGAGGAATGCCCTCAAGGTGTCGACCGACTGCTTGAAACTGGACGAGGTCGGAAATCGAGGCGTTCGGCCGAGCGAATGGGTCCAGCCCCTGTCTCAATCGGCGCTTGCGTCATCCTGGCGAGGCGACGACCTGCCGAGAGAGACGGTAGGACAATGATGGGAGGCCAGCTTGCTCGCAAACTCCCAAATATGTCCAATAGAAACTCGCAAAGGTGGCGGGGGAAATGACGAACTTGGGCATGGGAAAAAGCGCGATCCGGAATAGGTGTAGATATGTAGATATTCCTGTGAGCTCCTACCTGTACACCTGGGCTGCCCGCTAGAAGCTTGTCCAGAATGCTTAACTCTGGCCTGTGGGGTCGGTGGGGTTTGGCCCGCTGGGCTCGGACAAAGCGGAGCGGTGAGCCAGGTTCATCTCGGAGATGCGCCGCCACGGCTCGGACGAAGCCAAGAAACGGAACACGGCACGTCCCCGGCCGGCCAGCCCCCTGGGTTTGCTCGAGTCAGGGACTTGGAGAGGACCACTGCTGGATTGCCTTTTCGGGACGTATAAGTCGTTGGATGGAGAGGTATGGGGCACGGGCAGAGAGTGGTAACCACCACAACGAGTAGTAACTACAACACGCCATACCATGCATAGATGCCAGAGGGCCCGGTGATTGTGGTCACTGGTCGAGTGAAGGTCGCTCGCAAACTCAACAACGAGGCTACGTTCAAGGCGCGGCAACGAATAAAAAGCCAGCCCCTGAATGATGCTTGGCTGCGTCGAGGTCATCGCGAGAGGGCTGGCTATACACGCCCACCTTGCTTAACTAGCCTCCCGACGTTCCGCATGGCACGGGCACGTGTGGCCCAGGAATATGTATTGGCTTCGGCGGGTCGCATCGCATCTTGTTGCGCGTAGCTCGGCTGGGAGATCTTGATGCTCTCTGTTGTGCTACAGTCTCCTGCTGTCGTCGAGACAACAAACCAATGGCACACCGGCAGCGCAGGAACCCCACCCGAATACAAGGTCTAGCCGAAAGGGCAATAATTTCCCTAGAGCCGTACTTGTGCCCTATCAGGAATGAGGAATGGAGAGCGAAGTCGGCCTCGAGTGAAGCGCATGACCAGTGACGTATATGAGGGCAGTCCCCTGTAACGTGTGTAACTGAGGCCAAATCAGACCAAGTGGTCCTGGCTCGTGGTGGTCGGTGGGCTGTCACTTCGACGGTTGCTTTCAAGTTGAATGCACGGACTATCACCTTCCAGGGGCAATTACATTCCATAAAATGTGTAAGGTCGGAGGATGGCTGTGCATAAGGAAATATGGAAATATGGAAAGAAGTGGGCGTGGTCAAGAGCTGGCGCCGACTAGCGCAGAAAAAAGGGGCAACATCTTAAACCATAACTTTAATGCGTGCTGACTGGGTGTTCCCTCCCAGGCTCCTAGTCTCCCAAGATATCATTCAGTGGAAAAAAACGGGCACCTGCCCAAGGCCACCCCACATCCACTTGGACATGCAAATTTGATTATTGGAGGACAGCATAGCGGCTCGATGGCGGCGAGGCTTGCGCGAGAATCACATCCGCTCGGGGCCGAGTGAGTGGCACGTCAAAGTAGACAGAGCTGAAGCCCTGAGCCGTATTCCGTCTTGGAAAGATGCTGGGACCCGCGGGGGGCGACGCCCACGGGTCTGGAGGGTATGTGTCGTCGCCAAACGCCCTTCTCGGTCATCCAATGCCCGAAAACCGAACTGCTCAGGTTAGATGACAGGTCAACTGCGGACGATCACTGCCATCAAGAGAAAGATATGTCGAGATATGCGCCAGCGAGGTATCATGGCCAGGATATCAGGTTCCGAGTATTCCCCCTTGTGCAGACAATCGACCTCGTGCGGTGCTGCCCACAATCTGTCCTTTGATACCAGGTCACTCGGAGCTCGAGGTTTCCCACGCGGCTCACTCAGGGCCCGCTTACCTGGGCCGCGCTGGCGCAGCCAGCGGGAGCAGCTCCTGCTGGACATGGAAGCGAACTGAGCTAAGCAAGCGCGGTGTGCGTTCGTGGGGGGTTGCCAAGTCCTTGCGAGCACGTTGAGTAGTCGGCGGCAATCTTGCATCCAGAGTCCCTGGGGCTTGTCGAATGGTGAAATCTAGACGCGCCGCCGTCAAAGAGGCAGGCAGAGGAAGTTGCGCAGCCCGTCCATCGTGCTGCTCGGACGAGCGGAAGGAAGCACCGCTGGCGTATTCCGTCGGTTCCAGTTCGTGGCCAGACCGCTGGCTGTTCCTTCTGCAGGATAGCCGCCTCGTACTGTTGAAAGGCCCCCACAGCTCCATTGGAGGCAATAAAGTGCTACCTCATGCAAGCGGATGCGTCTCAATGTCGTCGTGGCCATTCGGGATTTGCTCACCATGTGTCATATGCCCCGGCGGCCGCAGGTCGGCTGTGTTGGGCGCAAAGCGATATGTGATGGCGCGCTCGCGGCGAAGTTGAGGAGGGTGGATGATGGCTTGGCTAAAGCCACAAAGCTGCGAGGCCCTCCAAGTATCTCATTGGCCGCGGCTGCTGGTTGGCAACGCAAGATGGATGGAAGCCCTAGCGGGACTGGGAAAGTGGGAAGTTAGAAGTTGACAGAGAGGCGGTACAGGTCCCTAGTAGATGGGAAGGAACAGGGTGATCTGCATGCCACCCGTGCCCATCCGTCATACTGACTACGATCAGAGAGCCGGCCTGGAGGCCTCCCTAGTAGTCGGGCGACCCAAGAGATTCGACGGCTGGCGGGCCAGACCGTGTTGGCATTGGGTTGCGTTAAACGGAGAAAAGAGCAGCAGGGAGCGCCCAGCCGGCCATGCAGACAGTATTGCATCGCCAATAGTGCGGCGCCCCCCAGATATTTCGCACCCTCAGATGAGGTCGAGTGAGGGCACAGTGCAGACGGTTCGATATGATGGCTATGCGGGTGTGGGGAAGGCTGGTCAAAGGTACGGGCACTGTCTTTGTGGCATGTCTTTGTGGCATGGGAGGTGAGATGGCTTGCATTGCATCCGCCCTGCTGCGACATGACAATAGTCCTCATGCGTACCCCTCAAACCTACTCGGCCAAGGCCTCTCGGCGGTTTCTTCCGTATCCCCTCCACTCCATGCCTATCGGACGATGCCATATGCGCGTCCCATCACCGCGACCATGGCTGTGTGGTGGGATTGGATCGGCCTTTCCGGTGTGAATATTGACCTGAGTGCGAGAGTGAGGGGAAACGAGAGGCCTCGACCGGTCCGGCGCTTGTCTGGCGAAACAATGTCGAGCGGACAAGGAAGAATCCGGGGATGCCCGCCGGTCCGCCCACACCCTGGCCAGTACAGTGTGGGGAAAGAGCTGCGGGGAGCGAGCAGAAAGCGAATGCGCGTTGTGTCTCACCGCGCATGCGAGGCGAGTGGTGCGGCGCCTGTGGTGGTGAGGGGCAGGAGGCCGTGATTTGGGCGACGTATAGCTCCGGGGAGGAGGACACGGGAAGAGGACGCCCCAGCAGTGAGTGCTACATGCCTCGGTTGCCTCTTCCCTCCCGCGGAAGCCTCAGCTACTCTGTGGCTGCTTGAGTACCTGCCTGTTTGTGCAAGGAAGGCTGCTCAGCGGCTGGTGGTGGTCGCTGCTGATCTCGCTTCGTGAGGAATTAGTTCGTGTTGGGCAGCCGTACATACAATGTGCCCAGAGGATTCCAAGGGGACGATCCAATGTCGCGAAAGCCCCCGTAAGCATCTCTGGTGTGTGTATGTTTGTGTGTTTGTGTGTTTGTTCGTGCCGCGTCACAGGCTTCAATTGTTTCCGTGAACAAGGCCTCTGCATGGGGAGAGACGAAAAAGTTGGGCTGCAGTCTGCTGGGTCCATAATTTTATGGGGCGTCTGGCGGTCCGGCCTTGTCCTGGTGGGCCTTTTGATCGCCCTTGGCGTCCGATGGGTCCACAATCGTAGAGATGGATGGCAATCTCACAACCTCGCCGGGCACTCGAACTTGCCTGTCTTGCCATCGAAGGCGACATGGGAGATACTAGATACCAGCGCCGGTATCGTTCCCCGCGAGACATTGGATGGCGTGGAAAAGGCACGAGTTACGTAACTTGAGACCAAACCAAGTCGATTTTGTTCCGCTGTGACTTTGCGGCTTTTTTGCCTTCTTTGCACCTGGGCCGACTTTAATTTAGCTTGTTCCTGGCGGAGCGTGGGGGTCAGTCAATCTTTTCTCCCAGACCGCTCCAATCGCAATTTTCACATCGTCTTTCGTTTTCCGCCTCTTTCCCTGCTTGACCCTCTCTTCTAGAGATTGACTACTTCAGCCCGCAGCATCTGAGCGGACTTCCGTTTGTGGTAAGGGATGAAAACGCAAGGAGGGGCTCTTGCAGCTCGGTGGCCACTACTTGGCAGACTCGCCGAGGATCGTACGGTTGTCACACGACCAGAAAAAAAAGTACCTGGAAATAGCGTTGACGTTATTGCTAATATTTCAAGCTGCGTCACTACCACGTCCAAGCAGGTCGGCGGCGGAGCCGACGGGAATTAACTCGGTTGAGGCATCTCGGCGCAATCAATGGTGTGTGTGGAGTGAAAGCTGTGTCGTGCGGTTGCCAACACAGGCTATGAGTATGCAGCCAGCACCTGAATGTGCTCCACTCCAGGGTCGGGATGGTGCAAGTCGCAAGAACACGCTGGATCGACGCCAAACACACTGCCGACGCGTGTCACGCAATTGCAAGAGTCGGCCTTTCTCCGGCGCGTAGGACTGTGACCTGATCGCCCACTGTCGCCTTTTGTCCGGGCACACGAGGCATGGCATCTATACGAGCCCCAGGGAGACTGCATGGCTATACGAGCCCCAGGGAGACTCAGATCCCCCATCAATGGGGCCCTGATCGGCCCATAAACCCCCACACTTGACTCCAGCTCCTCGGGCATTCCCAGAACCACGACCTTGGGACCTAGGTTCCGAACAGTATGCCGTTTTCGGTGGGTCTGTGTTATCGACCAAGAGGGGTCGTGAGGGGTTGGTGTCGGTCAATTCTAGGCCTTGGACATTACATGTTACCTTACCCTAACCAGTGAGGGAGCACGTTCCGCCCAGCACATCTTTTCTCGCCCCCTCATCCCTTCGGCTGCATTTTTTCCCCCTCGCTCTCTTTTTTGCTGGCGAGAAACTTATTCCATGCGACTTGCCGAGGGTGACATGTCACATGGACGTCTCCACAATCCCTCAATGGACGGATCTCTTCCCTGGCATGTACCTGGGTATCGCATTGCCCAATGAGGGAGCGCCGGGGTGGGTGATGTCCTGGATTGGCTGTGCCAGCGCTCGATACCGGCATCTCACAAGGGCTCTGCTTCCATGTCATTCTCTTTGCTTTGCGGCGTCACCGGACCTCGTGCTGATTGCGACTCTGCCCCTGCTGGGTACGCTGGTACCTAGCAGATCGCCATGCCAGCCACAGCTGGAGGGGGAGCCTAGCTCTGCAGGTATCCGTGAAACTTTGCACAAAAACCTAGCGCGTGGGGGTACCTCATGGGAATGGTTCATCGACTGGGAATCTGACCAAGTCGAATTAAGCGCGGTAAGGAGAAGAAATTTCAAGCCCCTGCTCAGCCTGGCCCCCGCCGGCTTCGGCCGCCAAACGTCTATACAGCTGGGAAAGGTTGTGGTGACACAGCTGCTCTCTGGACGATGGTGTCGAGATGTCTACCAGCTACAGCTACATATCTCACGTATCAACAACCAAAAGCCGGCGCAACCGAATACCTCTTGGGCATCGCCATGTAGCCGCACATGCACTTTATATGACTGCGAAGATACAAAACGAGATAGACGCAAAAGAAAGGCGGCAACACGTAGAGCGGCAGCCAGCCAGTCGGAGCCCGGCGGCAAGGAGTGCTCGCAGACGGTGCCTCCGCAAGGGTAAACCTGGAAAAGAAAAGTAGCATATTCCGCTGTCTGATGCGTATGGGATCGCGCAGCCGGGTAGGTACCCACCTAGGTACTTACCCAGTCGCATAAATGGGTGTTGTGCAGAGCATGAGAGTTTGTGAGCGACATGGAGTCGCGGGCAGCGCCGACCTTCCCCACTGGTGGCTCCGTGCAGCGTCGTTGGGCGACCCCTGTTGTGCTCTACTTCTGCTGGGCATCTTTCTGATCCCATGACGAGGCACGTACCAATGAAGATGGGAATCACGGTGTCGCCATGCTGCTGATGCTTCTGTACCTGGGCTCTTAACAGGGATTCTATAGAAGTGAAGCTCCTGCATGCCAGAGATCGTAGACCGCCAAGTCGCGCTTGACAGAAGTGCACCCACCCGACGCTTTGCATGCGTCGTCCACTAGGTACCTACATACCTAGGTACATACGAACCAAATCTGGCACACCCGGCTGGTCAGCCCGGCCGCCAGCCCCTCACCGGTCACGGCCCTAGCCTTCCGAGCATCGACAGTAGCTGCTAAGATCAGTCACCATCCTGCAGTGACTCCGCGAATGCACGGCTAACCTTTCTTTGCAGCTAGCTGGCCGAGACGAGACCGCCAACGTGTTACGATAATTTGTTGTTTCACTCGGACCACGAGGAGTTGGTTGAAATACCCGGGACCCGGGAACGGAAAAGGAAAGCAACCCCCCCGACAGCGCCGCTAGAAACGTGCATCTCCGGATTTCATCCAACTCATTTCGGGTACCGAGCGTGTTAGGTTATGCTTTGCTTTTCGGGCACCTGTGTTCCTCCTGACGGGAAGATTTCCTCTGAAGTGCCCGATGTTGCCCGAACACCTTCCACCTTGGACCCCCGCCATTGGGTGTTTCCATAGCCCCTGCCCCATGTCAACCCGTCAGGCCAACTGACCCCCACACACACGGGCCACCTTTACTCGAAGTGGCAGGTGGGGTCCCGCCTCCCGCCTCCCCACAGCCAGTCGGTCTCCAGCTCTGGGTCGAAGAAGGTTGATTTCTCTCCCTTCGTCAAGAATCCACCACCAACCCTCCCTCCAAAGTGCTACCGGGCTGTCCAGAAGCGGCTTGGGATCGAGGCCTATTACTCTATGAGTACAACACAGTCGACACTATCCCAGACCAGAGCCTAGGAGGACGCGTTCCTCGGCCAGCCAGTCGTGAGGCTGGAACTGGACAGGACGGGTTAGACTGACCGACTAGGGGACACATATATCTAGCTCCTGCGGCTGCAGCGCCACCACCCCCTTCTCCGGGGTACCAATACATACAACCCGTCCACCCCTGCAAGAGCGATTGTTGCCCGAGCAAGCCTGCGCCGCTCCATGCGAAGACCAGTCCCGAAAAGGTTGCCGCTTCATCATGGGGCACCAAAACCCCAAGAGAAAGGTAACGAGGAGTAAAGGGACGAAGCACACCCCACCTCCTTCGCACAGACTTCAAGCCTGCGGGGGTGGGGGTGTGCTGCCGTCGACGCCCTGATCGATGGGTCTTGCCCAGGCCAGCTTGCTCACACCGCATGCCGCCTGGAGGTGCCGTAGATTCATGGGGTGCACATCCCCAACACTGCCTTGTCGGATCTCTCAGTTTTGGCACCTTTGCCCGGCTTGGCCGCCATGTGGCCTCCTGAACCGGGCGACGGGTTGGAATCGTCTTCTTGGTCCGCGAGGCTTCGAGGGACAACCAAGTGGCCGGCATCGCCCACGTCACGCCCCCACTCTTTCTGGGCATATAAATACCGAGATATGCCGCCTTCTTCGCTTGCTGCCGTCGCCCATATTGTCCTCCACAGGCCTTTCTCATATCAAAGTTTCATCTTTTCGTGGATTCGCGCACTGGACCTTTCTATCACTACCCATCCTGCGCTCTTAGTCGAAGTCCGCCAACGGGCCATCACTGCTTCCGGTCGTGAGCCATCTTGCTCTCGTCTCCAACTGCCACTACACCTCCCCGACCCCAAATTCAGTACTGCCTTGGGTGGCAAGACAGAGCCATGGCTCCTCACGTTGACGCCCCTTCGCCTTCAGATCATTACAGCAACGGTTTCAATGCAACCAGTGCCACAAGAATGGCGGTGCCCGCAGTGATGAGGCCAGAAGACTTCACGCCGCCCTTGGGATCACCTGTTGGCAGTTCGTTTGACGGCAGCTTGCTAGGAAACTCGGCAGTCACACATCTAACTCGGCCACTGTTGCCAGGAGTCTACGTCCCAACCATGTGCTTCTTCGACCCCGAGACTGAAGACGTGGACGAAGCCATGATCGCGGAGCACGCGGTGCGCCTGGCTCAGGCTGGAGTCACCGGTCTGGCGACGCAGGGTTCCAACGGTGAAGCCGTGCACCTGACGCACGACGAGCGCCGTCTGGTGACTTCGATCACCCGCAGAGCCCTCGACGAGGCCGGCTTTTCAGACATGCCGCTCGTAGTCGGGTGCGGTAGCCAGAGCACCCGCGAGACCACCCTCCTCTGCCGGGAGGCATGGGCGGCCGGCGGAGATTATGCCCTGGTCCTGCCGCCCTCGTACTACGCGTCTCTATTTGCGCCGGCTTCGAGGTCCGTGGTTGAATACTTCACCGCCGTTGCGGACGCGAGCCCCATCCCGCTCATCATCTACAACTACCCGGGTGCCGTCAACGGCATGGACCTTTCGTCGGACGTCATCCTCGAGCTGGCCGAGCACCCCAACATCGCGGGGGTCAAGCTCACGTGCGGAAATACGGGCAAGCTCAACCGTGTGGCCGCGGGCGCGCGGAAGCTCGCCGGCGATCGGCCGAACCCGCGCCGGCCCGAGTTCCTGGTGCTCGCCGGGTCGGCCGACTTCACCATCCAATCCCTCGTGGCGGGTGGGCACGGGATCCTGGCGGGGCTCGCCAACATCGCGCCGCGCGCCTGCGTGCGAACCATCGAGCTCTACCGGGAGGGCAAGATGGCCGAGGCCCAGGCCATGCAGGAGGTGATCTCGCAAGGCGACTGGACCGCCATCCAGGGGGGCGTGGTGGGCGTCAAGTCTGGGATGCAGTCGCTCACGGGCTACGGCGGTTATGGCCGCAGCCCGCTTCCCAGGCCCACCCCTGAGCAGGCCAAGAAGTGGCGAGAGGGGTTCCAGGAACTCTACTCACTCGAGAAGTCGTTGTGACATGACTGGCACTTTTGGTATATCGCGCCTCTTTTATGGGCTATTGCGCGTTACTTTCACGGCAAGTTTCATTGGTTGGCAAAGTTAGGTAGCTTTTCGGGATTTGAAAAAGGCGGGCGGCGTTTGCTAGGGACGCTCGTTGGAGTATGGAAACTTTTGGTACGTTATTTCGCCTGACAAGGTCGGATTTTCCCGATCGTATGCTCGAATCGGACTTGATTTACTCTGGTGGAAGCCGTAAACCGAAGGCATGTCGACTGAGTGTGGTAGAAGCAATGCTAGCACGTGGGAGACAGTTGACTGGCGGGCTAGCTCCGGGAATGCCCGGGGTGCTTGGCAGCGTCACCGCAAGCCAGCGAGATCACGGGACAGGTAAGCTGATCTATGGGACTCTACCCCCAAGATCAAGCCAAGCGCTGAGAGGCTTGTGGTGGTGTCGCGTGAGTTCTTTTTTTGGTCTCGTCGCCTCACTACCTAGATGTATAGCCGCCCGAATCTTTTGCCGCGTATGCCGTCCACTAACTGCGAGCATCTTCCTTTCCCCTCTGCTGTCGGGCTGTTGTCTCGGATGCACCTGGTCCATGATGACGTTGGGACACGACCCAATCAGCAGGTGTTTGCGTTCCAATGTGGTTACACGGATTTTTGGCAATGATGCCCGTCTGCCACACGTGCACACGCATATACATACATACACACACAGACACGCACACCTTCCCGTTCAGAGGCCAGAGCCCGGCTTTCCTACCGTTGCACAGCATCTTGCAGAGAGGGGGGGCGCGGCTGGCGTTGACTTGCTGCTTTCCCACACACCCCCCCATTTCCATTTCTTCACCGCCTTGGGCCGCCAAGGAGGGGAACAAAATGGAGTGGGAGCACAAGGTGCCAGGCGGGGCCTGGGTGAGGGTGGCGATGATCTCCATGTGGTTTGCGCGCGAAATCTTGGTTGGGAACCGGGCGCATGTGCGGTTTTGACGCCTCGTTTGGTATATATATGTGTGTGTGTGTGTGTGTGTGTGGTTGATACCCGGCGCTTCCTGCGGTTGGGCTGGCTACTACCAGGTACTTGCTTCCATTCCCAGCCTCGTTTTTCTTTCCACTACGTAACTCTGCCCACCTTTATGGGAAGAGGGCAGGGTAAGAGACAGAGAGAGGAGAGTGAGAGATGGGCTTGTGCTACCAATAGTACCGCATGACGACACCCATGGCAAGTCGGCCGAGAGGGCGAACAGTGTGCCCCCCATCGCGATCACGACATGGCGATGTATCCGGCATGGATGAGAAGAGGAGAACGACAGGGCGATCCGGCTTTGCCGAAATGGGAGACCGACCGACCGACTGACTAACACGCCGTTGCTCCCGCCCTTCCATTGCGCTAGCCGAGCTAGCGCCGCGGTCGGGACGTGCTTTCCACCTCATGTCACTTACCATTCTGCTCCTTCCTTTATCCAGCTCGTGTGCTGTGGCACCTAATAAAAGGTTGTGATCGGCCAGCACAAGAAGAAGAAGCGGGGCGCCTTTGACCAAATTTTCTGTTTTCTTCTCATTGAACTCGACCAAAGCAGCAGCCACAGCAGACGCGCACACTCATTCAAGCTCCCCCTTCTCGGTCGTTGCAGGCCTCGTGTCTTTTTGTGCGCCGTACTCCCCCCGTCTGGTGCGAGCCGAGGACGGAAAGTTTGACGGGTATGGCCAAGGGAAAGCGGGTGGCCGCAGTGTTTTCCATGAGGCCATGGACCGGCCAAAAACGAGGGTCCTCGGTGCCCGGCCAATGCCTTCTCAGGCGGTCCATGTTTTTCTCTCGGCGCTTTTTCCCCCTTCTTGGCCCGTTCATTTTTCTCCTTCCTTACCCTTGTGGCTCTTCCCGTGCTTCCATTATCTGCAGCCTCCCGCGGCCGGGCTCTAAATTTGGCCCTAGACATTCCCGAGCGACCAGGGTTGTTCGATTTCCGCCTGCTGACGACTGACTGACTGAGTGACCAACTCTCTGATGGGAAAGGGTAGGTGGGTAGACCCTGGGGGACGCTGCCTCCAGCTAGATACCTGGAGGTAGGTAAGGTTGCCAGTGAGGCCGCCCATCAAACGTCGCGAAACCCCAAGTGGGAGGGTATGAGAGCGGTGTACTACCACACAGAAAAAAGAGAGGACGCGCCACTGCTCTGCTCATGGGGAGGCCACATCAGTTCCTGCATTTCGTCCCGTCTGCCTCCAATCTCTCGCCCGGTGAACCCAATGTGCCTGGCTTGTGAAGTGCTGAGATAGATGTGGAGCAACATGGATGCCATCATCGTACCTCGCCGGCAAGGGGCGTCCCCCTCTGCTTCGTTCAGCCGCCAGCCTCTCATGCAGCCACATCTCGCGGGCGTCTATACGAGCCTTTGGGGAATGACGAGCGCCGGCCGATCCCCACGGGTTACCATTCCCGTTTGGGTTGTCTTGCCCGTGGTCATCGATTTTGGCTCCTCCTCCCCGTCCTCCTTCTGCGGCGCCACCGCGGCCCGGACGGCTTGTTATCACTCTTTTCCCCATCCAATATCCGCTCTGGCGGTAAGCAGAGATGCCGCCCAGGCCCGGGCCTTTTTTCTTTTCGTGCCCCCACGTACCGCACCGGCTTCTGCAGCTGCATGCTCCTCGTGTTCGCCCCCCGGGGCAGCGGGAGAGGCCAGCACAATAAGATGGGCTGCGGGATGAGGGCGAGAGAATGCCGTGCTGGTGGCCCAACGAAGGGAGACCCACGCCCGGAGATGATGCGACCCAGCTTGTTGTGCATTCACCGTGTCTGTTTGTAGAACATCTCGTGGGGCTCTATATCAAGTGGTTTGCCTCCCTCACCGTTCCCTCTTCTTTTTCTTTTGCTCTGGGCCCAGCTCCGTTTTGGCCATGTCCCATATATGAAGGTCTTGGGATTGCCCTCACCTTGCACTCAGCCAGCAGCCAGCCCACTTCCCCCCGCTCTACTGCCCTCCTACATATTGGAGTATCCACCTTTTTTTCCTATCTCCCGGCAACAGACGTGAAACACCTACTATCGAGAGTCTGGGATCTTGGAAAGCAAAGCTAGGGCTATAGATCGCCATGTTTCTCTCTGGCGCCTCGGTTGCTGCCGCCTTCCTCTTCCTCTTACCCCTAGCCACCTTAGCACAGCAGATCCCCGTGACCGGAATCCAGGGCGGAGGTGATGGTACCCCGCTACCGGCACGAAAAAACATCAAGGACCTCCAGCGGAACGGCGGTCCAGAATGGTATATGAAGAATGCCCTTGGTATGGTAGACTTTGCCGCGGTTTGCTAACTTGCACGCGTGTCTTCAAGGGACCTGTTCATTCTGGGCCTGACGGCTCTGCAAGATGAGAAGGAAACGAACGAGCTGTCATATTTCCAGCTCATGGGTACGTGATGATCACCGCACCGCTCTGCCGAATCTGGGAGCCACTTCTAACCTGCCACTCTGTCAAAACAGGCATTCACGGACGCCCTTATATACCATGGAACGGCGTCGAGCGGGTTGCTGGCGGCGGGTATGGAGGATTCTGTCCGCACAATGTATGCGCATGCCCACCTGCTCGTGACTATATCAAGAGACAAAGCTAGCCAGAGACTGACCTACCTCTTCACAGAGCGTCCAGTTTGCATCATGGCACCGCCCGTTCTTGGCCATATATGAGGTACGGAGAAACTCAAGCTCTGGTCTTGGCTTTTCACCTTGCTAACAAGCCACTCCAACTGCAGCAAGCAATACACACGCACGTCGTCCGGATCGCGGGCGAGTACAAAGGCCAGAGCGCACCCGTGTACGCGGCGGCGGCGCGGCGGGTGCGGATACCATACTGGGACTGGGCGGCGGGCGGCAGCGGCGACAGTGCGCGGCTGCCCGAAGCCGTGACGGCGCGCGAGGTGACGGTGACGACGCCCTCGGGGCGCGCCTCGGTCCGCAACCCGCTCTACAGCTACCGGTTCCAGCGGCGGCCGGACGAGTCCGGGATGCCCAATGACACGCTCGGCGCCCGCTTCGGCGAGACTAAACGCGGCCCCACGGCCAACGGGACCGACGACTTTGGGGCCGTCAACGCGCAGCTCGAGGCGCACGCGGGCACGCTAGCGCGGCAGGTGTACAACGTCTTCACACAGACGACGACGTTCGCGCAGATGTCGACAGAGCAGGTGCCGGGGAGCAGCTTCGAGTCGCCGCACAACAGCATCCACAACATGGCGGGCGCGGGTGGCCACCTCCAGTTCCTCGACTGGTCCGCCTTCGACCCGGCCTTTGCGCTGCACCACTGCAACGTCGACCGGCTCGTAGCGCTCTGGCAGGCCGTCAACCCGGACGGCGCCGTGCTCAACGGCAGTGCCTGGTCAAGTGGGCAGTTCGCCACCCCGGCTGGTCAGGTCACGGCCGACTCGCCCCTCAGGCCCTTCTTCGCCAGCAACCGGTCCGGCCACTTCCACACGGGCCGCTCCGTCGCCGACGTGGCCTCGTTCGGCTACACGTATCCGGAGCTGCTGCCGCCGCCGGCGCCGCAGCGCCAAGAGGAGCAGCAGCTGTCGCGCGCCGACCTGCGCAGGCTGGTCATGCAGCGCATTAACGACCTGTACGGGGCCGGGGTCGGGGCTGGGCAGAGCCTGGGCAAGAGAGACGCCGCCACCGTGGCCGCGCGCAGGGACTACGAGCTGCAGATCCGGGCCGAGCGGGACAGGCTGGACCTGCCGGCCCAGATCGGCGTCTTTGTGCGCGGGCGACTGGCCGGCCACGTCTCGCTGCTGGGAATGCCCAGGACCGGCGTCAGCTTCTCGGTCCTGCCCCTCGACGGCGTGCTGACGGAGCTGGGCCTGGTCGACAACAGGACCGAGGCCGCCGTGCTGCCGTTGCTGAGAGACGAGGTCAGGCTCGAGGTCCGCAAGGTATGTTACTCTAGGCAGTCACCGTGTCTCTCTTTTCTCTCTTTTCTCTCTTTCTCTACGTCATATCATTCCCCCCGAAGCTGACAAAGACGACTGTCTCTGAAAAAACAGTGCGACGGCACCGACATCTCGGCCGCGTCCACCCCGGGCCTGCAGCTCGAGGTGCAGAGCCGGGCGTACACGCCGGGCGCGCGCAAGTTCGACTTCCCCACCTTTGGGGCGGTGAGCAAGGTCGCCATCCACCCCATCGCGCCGCGGCCGTAGGGCGGCAGCGGCGGGTGCGGGAGGATGGCGGCGGCCACCGACACGAGATGCGCGGCGGCGGCGGCGGCGGCGGCGGCGAGGGCCGAGGTGGCGGGTAACCGTACCATGCGGTACCTGTTCACCCGCCAGGGCGCCCCTCACCCGCCCCGTCGCGCCTCTGTGAGACTTTTCTAAAAACGGACCAGAACCGGAGGAGGTGATGGTTTCCAGGGACCTAGGTGCCTAGTCGTCGAGGCTAGTATCAGCCGGGAGCTAGCCTTTCCTAGCAGTTCTTTTCCTTGTTGGCTTTTTCTCTGGTTTGATGTGCTTCAGTGGTCTTTCCTTCTTCGTCTTTACTTCATCTCTTTCTGACCTGTCGGTGAGGCTTTGTCTCAGCTTCGTAATTCCTGGCGCTTTTGGGGTTCCACGGAGGGTTTGATCGCTTCCATGTTCTATATATGCCCGCTCATATGAGGCAAAAGAAAAAGAAGAACAAAAAGAGAAAAATAGTAATACCATAATCAGTTCAAATACGCCCGTTTGTTGAACTTATCGATGCTGTGCACTCCTGCCCTGGTTCCCCAAGCGGCCCACCCTGTATCGGATGCCGACTCTACACCGCGACCGTTGATCATTGCTGATCCCATTACTGCCGGCATCCGAAGAGGCGGGCGAGACTGGGCGTGTCTTGGATGGTGTTCCAGACACGGCGTGGGGGGGAACAGCAAAGAGCGGTGCAGGGAGGCCGCCGACGCCCCCCGGCCAGCCAGAACAGCCAGCAGACCGGCCGCATGTGGCACCACCCAAGCAACACGTCAGAGTTTGGATGGCTGGTCCCTCACCCACCCTTGTCCTCTCCCCCTTCTTTCAACCCAACTACCGAGACTCGAGCCAGGTCAGCGGCATGCCCAGCACGCGGCACCTGCCGAGCCCGACGTAGCCGTCCATGCGGCTCTGGTGCTGCAGCAGCCTGATGCGCCGCGCGTCCTCCTCCTCTCCGCCCCCCGCTGCCAGATCCGCCCGGGCCCAGGGCTCCTGCGCCTCGACGCGCGCCAGCGTCGACCAGTAGCCCCGGGCGCGCAGGTAGGCGCGGTCCGGGTTCGGGTCCAGGGCGCGCGCGAAGGCGGCCCACTGGTCCACGACGGCGCGGGTGAAGACGAGGTCGCGCCCGTCGCGGTCGGGCAGGCCGCGGCGGGGCCAGGTGCCGAAGACGATCATCTGCGGATGGGGGTGGGGGAGTGTTAGCCCATTTGAACTTGGTGAGTGGCGTGGTAAGTTGAAAAAGACAAAAAAAAAAAGAAAGGCTCGAAAGATGTATGTGTGGCCTCAACAAAGACTTGCCTGCTCTCCCGCGTGGCACTTGTAGTAATCCTCAAACTCGGGTGCGTTGGAGCTGCACCCCGGCGTCGTGTACCCGGCCGGGCTGTAGGTCCGGTTGAAGCGGTAGGCGTAGACGGCCTTGAAGGCGGCCGACGGGCCCGGCCGCGTGGCGCTGTAGACGGTCGCCTGCTCCGAGCACGCGTACAAGGCGTCCGTCACGACCCGCACCACGGCGTCCTGCTTCTCCCTCTCGCTCGGGTTCGCCGGGATGCCAAACTCGGGGCTAGCCAGGACCTTGTCGGCGACGTCGGCCAGGAACGGCAGCTGCATGCCGGCGAGCAAGGTCCTGAGGTCGCCGGCGGGCGCGGTCGGGAAGTCGACCCCGGACTCGTCCCGGTTGAAGCCCGTCATGACCACCACGTCGGACGCGAAGGACGGCGCGCTGCCGTTGAGCCGCAGCGTCGGCGCCACCAGGTACTCGCCGTCGTTGACCGTCAGGATGGCCTCGGGGTCCGCGTCGATAATGGCGCGCCCGTCCAGGCGGCGCATGCACGCCACCGGGTCCGGGTCGGCGTCGCAGCCCAGCCGCGCGAGCAGCCGCGCGCCGAGGAATGCGTGCGCGACCGCCGGCGACGCGTAGCCCGCGGCCGAGCCGAGCGGGGGCGGGGCGCGGCCCGAAGGGCCCGACTGGATGGCGGCGGCGACAAAGAGGCCCGCGGCTTTCGGGCTGGCCAGAAGGGCGCGCACGAGCATGCCGCCGGCGGACTCGCCAAAGATGGTGACGCGGGCCGGGTCGCCGCCAAAGTGGCGGATGTTGTCGCGCACCCAGTGGAGGCCCTGGATGATGTCGCTGAGGCCGTAGTTGCCGCGGTGGACGCCGTCGGCGAAGGCGAGCCAGCCTAGCGAGCCGAGGCGGTAGTTGAGGGCGACGACGACGACGTCGCCGCGCGACGCGAGCATGGTGCCGTCCGTGTTGAAATTGGTGTACCCGCCCTCGACGAAGCCGCCGCCGTGGATGTAGAACATGACGGGCTTCAGCCGGGGCACAGGCGTGTCCGTGCCGTCGTCGTCTTTTTTGCCGGGGCCCCCCGGCGAGGGCGGCAGGTAGGGCGTCCAGATGTTCATGAAGAGGCAGTCCTCGGCGCCGCCGCCGGGCACCTGCCCGGGCCTCTGCAGGCACTCGCCGGCGGCGTCCAGGGCCGGGACGGGCGCGGCGCGGTCGGCGGCCGTCGGCACGTAGGGCCTCGCGTGCTCGAACCGCGTCGGCGTGGCCGCGTAGCGCACGCCCCTGAACTTCCACACGAAGAAGTCGCGGAAGCCCTTGTACACGAGGCCGCCGCCGCCGGCCGCATGGTTGACGACGAATTCGGTGTGGTTGTTGTTGGACCGGTAGTCCAGCACGGGCGCCGACTGCGTGCACAGCGCGGGCAGCCGCCTGCCGGCGCAGTCGACATCGGACGCGACGACGCCCGCCGTGTCGACGGCCCTGCAGCCGCCGCCGCCGCCGCCGCCGCCTGCGCCCCAGGACACCCAGAACAGCTGGGCGCGCGGAAACACGCCCTGGTGAACCTGGTAGGAGAGCGAGCTGTTCAGGCCGTCGGCGAAGGTGGCGGCCTCGGGGCTCCAAAGCGACTCGCCCAGGAGCTTGCAGGCCTTGTCGGCGTCGTCGTATGCCGTGAGCTTGTGGAGCAGCAGCGCGGCCGAGCCTTTCTTAGGACTGTCTACATGCCAGCAAGACTAGTAGTCAGACCAACGTGGCGCAGATAGTGTATGCCAAGCCAAGAGGATAAACTCACTGCTCAGATCGTTGTCTGTCAGAATAGTGACGCCGCCTCCGTAAAATTCATCTTTGGGGACACAGACGGCGGCGACCGCCCAGCCGAGAACCACACCAGCGGCGGCGACCTTGCGTAGCCCTGCCATGGTCTCTACTGCAACTAGTGACCTTGAGCACAGATAGCCGTGGTGGGAGAGGCCAATCCGTTGCCGTGATGGCTAATATATATACCATTACATCATGGCATCATGGCATCACGTCCGCTTCTAGAACATATGCCCAACGGTTCGGGAGGATAACGGCCCGCCTAGCAGCATACCACCTTAACCGGAGCTGTCACCAAGGCCTAGGCTCACCGGTCGGCCGCCATTTTCTGCAAGGCCCCCTCAAAGGATCGCGGGGAAGAGGCCTAGAATGCCTCGACGCGATGGCGGCTAAATTGCCATGCGGCGGAGCTGACAGAGAGTGGCCGCCAGTTTTCTCTCCGGTCAGCCACTCTTCTCTCCATTCTCGCCCCCCAGCCGTCACCCGGGGTTCATATAGTACATGCAGCATCAGGGCGTCGGCGCTGGCATATTCCCGTGAAACTCACTAGATATTTCCGACGACTTCCCCGGCCACGAATCCTTCGGGATCTCCTTCATTGGTCGTCAAACCCCCGGGTTCAAGACATCTCCAAGGAGACCAGCAAACAAAGACAAGACTATCGAAAATTCGTCGGGCGGCACGCGCCGAGGATCCGGACGAGGCTGCAGGGCCTCCAACGCTGGCACCGTCCTGGAAGGGAACCCGACCGATCGGCGCCCCGGTTTGCGGGGGTTCGTCCGTCGCATGTCAAGAGTTGCGCATCGAAATGAAACAAGATGCGATTTAGCCCTAGAGATATAGGTGATGGATGACTCTCGCTGAGCCCTGTGTTGACGACGGGAACGAGCCCGGTGACCAGGCTAAAGGGCGGCGTTGAATCGTGGGGTATCGGCTTGCTCATCATCACTAATCCCGTCGACGACGTGTCAGAGTCGGCGACTGATTCGGGTCCCAGAGCTGGCGGCGGCGAGTGCTCCGAGACCCCGTCTGTGGTTGGACAGGTAGGCACCCCGAATTCAAGAAATTACAGAATCTAAACAAGCCGTCTACACGACTTGGAGATGTCGAATCGCGAGATCGAGACTAGATTCCCACCTTCTACTTTACGAATGAATCGTGCAAGTCAGGTCCGTTTGAGCTCAGTGAGCCATGAGTGCTCTTTACCAGGCTAACCAAGCAAGAACTAAGCCCGTCACGGCCTGCAAAAGGGCTGGTACCCGAGGGAGCCGGCACGCGGGGCGCCGAGGTAGCTCCGCCATACTACCGACCGAAAATCACGGGTACATCATAAGGTAGGAAGAAGCAATAGGTATGTCAAGGCATGGACGGGCGATGCTCTCCTGCAAGGTCCTGTTTTACGAATCGGAAGATGCGGGCATGCATGGGCTGCTGCTAGGTGGTCCAACGTAAGCGCCTGCGTGGTGAGGTCCTCTGGCCATCGTTGCTGGAGGAGGAGGAAAATGCCCGCAGCGGATCGGAAGAGTGATTTCGTCCCATATAATTGGGTCCCCCTTTCGAGCTGGTCGTTTCTTCTCGACGTCTTGGCAGTCTCGGACTGTTTTGGACCACAACATGTCCCTGCCCTCCCCACAGCGCTCCGCCCCTTTTTCCCCCTTTCCCTCGTTGTCGCCTTAGGTAGACCCAGCCTGTGGGGATTTTTATGCGACCAGTGTGCACCGAACACTGCCGTTCCGTCGTGCTTGGCTTCCTGAGGCGCGCGCGGACGGACGAGTCGACAAGCGTGGGTTGCAAGTCAGCAGGGGGCAGCGTCGTCGCCACGTTGCTGTGGCGGTGGAGGGCGAGCGAGCGAGCGAGCTCCTCGTCGCCGGTCCGTAATCAGAGTTTTCGCTGACGAACCTTGGTGTTGTTGCTTGTTTTGATTTGGTCAGGTCGCACACGCACACACACGGCTGAAAAAAATGGTGTGTTCCCGATCCCAAGCCTTCCCAAGACTGGCTGGAATCCAAGTGTCATCCCAAGGCGCGAATTTCCCAAAGCAGCAGCAGGATCTTGCCGTAATCTCGCCACCTCGGGCGGTGGCAGATGTGCCGAGCGAACCGGTTCCGGGAATGCTCCAGAAAATTCAATAGAAAGGCTGGCGGTAAATCCATTACGAGACCGGCCATGTGTCTTGGCCGGGAAGCGATTACGGATGAAAGGCAGCAAGGACTACTAGCAAAAGAGCACGGGACACATCCGCCCACAGACTGTCGATCGGCCACGGAAAAGCACAAACGGGGGGACGGCATGTGGAGGGAAAAACGAACAAAAGGCCGTGAGCATCACGAGGTGAGGGTTAAAATTAGAAGCTGCCGACAGCACCCCCGGAATTTGCAACGGTCAACCCGACGGCGAGCCCACAGCGATTCGGCGACGCCACCGACAGAGGGTTGGGCGTGTCACCCCACACTGAGCATTGTGAAAATCTCGCTTCGGTACCTAGTCGTGTCCCACTGGTTGGCGTGGTTTTGTTGGTGGTCTTTTGAATGTTACTTTGCCCACCTCTGCCGGAGCCAAGCTGACTGCAGCCGGCCATGCGTGAGTCAAGGGAGGGAGAACAAATCCGAACCGACAAGCTGCTCCCATGTTGGGGTTGGTGACGACGTCGCTGGTTTGCGCGCTCGGGCGTTTAATCTGTCCCGTTTCTGTGTTGGTCGCGCTGGCCTTCAATCCCATCTCCTTACCACTGTTCGTCACATGCCGGTTGCTGCTGTTGGCTGCACGCTGCCGTGCCCTGCCCTCCGCCAGCCCTGCACCTGCACGCTGCAAGCAGGGTCCGACAGTAGTTTTTTTTTTTTTGTCCCAATTGAGCCCCAACTTCCGTTGCAGCACCCGCCACGCACCAGCTCAGCCGCAACGTGCAGACAATCGAGGCTGAGCTTGATCAATGGAAGGAAAGAAACGTTGCAGCACACCGAGGCCGCCAGGCGACTAAATGGGCCCAGAGAATGTCGCGCGTTTCTGGACTGGCAAACTGGCCCGACGCTGCCTCCGATAGGGCAATCAAGGGCCACCCATCCTGTCCAGCTGCAGGCCCCAAACAAGGATGGAGCTCAGGCGCTGCTGGCCCTTTCACGCATTTTGCATCAATCGAGTTCCAGGCCAAGGCCCTCCCAACCGTGGTTGGCTGTTTGAAGAGGCGCCTCCTGTTTCAAGACTAGAGCGCAGCAAAAGTGACCTGCGTTTCTCTCTTCATGTTCTTCTCCTTCTTCGTCTGGGCCCCACCCACCACGCGTGCGCCGCTCGCCGAGGTAGCGACGTGGGGAGTTCGAGCCAGGAACTGGTTGGGGAAGAAAGGTAAAAGCAATGCAGCACGGTTGGAGATCGGCAGGGCAGCGACGGCATGAAAATTGCGGGATGGCAGCAGAAGGCGCCTGGGCGCGGCACACCCTTCAAAAAAAACCCGGGCTCTCCAGGGGAGAGAGTTGGAGGGTCGCACACGTAAAAAAAAATGATGGGACCCCTTCGTTGACGCTGTCGATCATTGGGTCACGCTCCGTCTGGACCCAAGACGGCCAAATTTGATTCGCTCACCCAGCAGCGCCAGCCCTGCCACGAGCTGCAGGGAGGGCCGGCGCCCAGGGAAACGACGCCCTCGCAGGCGGTCGGATGATGCGCGCGAATCTGGGAATGACCGCCCACGAGATCTTGTGGCATGCCGTACAACAGCCAGCGAGGCATGGGCGATGGCGACCACGGTGGTCAAGTGTGTGTGGCCTGCGTGCCATTGTCCGACACGAAGACGGCAGGTGGGGTTTGCCAATGCCGGTCCCCAAATTCTCGTGTCACGCCCGCCACGAAGACGAGGTGTAGTTGTCATGGAGGCGCATGTTTTGTAGTCAACGCAACCGACGACGCAGTCGATTCACAAGGCCAAGAAGAAAACGAGAAGAAAAAAATTGGCAATACGGAAACGGCAGTGGGCGCGCACGCAGATAGCAGCAGTCACAGCAGCACACACAAGGGGGCGCATCCTACTGCGGGTTGGGTGTGTCATTTCGTATTCCAGGCTCCCCATTGGCGCCGCGCGCGCCCTCATCTCAGAATTGCTTGGCTGGGGCCTGGCTGGACGCGGCGGGCGAGCTGGGCCACAGGCGGTCCTGTTAGGCCAGCGGGTGCGCGCTGCAGCTTCGATGCTAACTCCCGTGCTAGCCACAATGTCTCGACAACCAGCGCCTTCCCGCCCCGCCCTAGTCCGCATCCGGGAGGCTGGGAGGGGCCCCAAGATGCGACGGGTCAGCGATGGGACGGAAATGTGCCCTGTCAGCAGGGAATCCCGGCAGGCTCCACGCACCCTGGACCACCCTGGTCCTGCCTTGCTCGTTTTGCGTCCTTTCCCCCATGACGCCTGCCCGTGGCCCTCGCGCCGGGCTGGGCTGAAGTCTGGGCACCCCCCTAGGGGCTGCAGGCAGGAGAGACAGTCGGTGATCCAATCTGAGTCCACCTGGATGGCAAGCGCCTGCCCCAAATAAAGGCACGGCCTCTCGACGGCAGCCCTCCAGCACCTTCCCTCCATTCTCCCCATCATCACCTCAGTGTTGGGCCACTTCTCAGAGGAAACTCTACCTAGACCTATTAATACGGTTCTACTTTGCGTCTTCTTCCATCCCACCTTCTGTCTCTCGTTTGCAGAACTTTTTGACATCACCACTATCGCTAATTCCCCTTTTTGCCCTCGCCCCTGCCGCGCCACTTTGGACCCCAGCAACCATAAACAAAAACACTCCTCGCCGACTGTTTTTGCTCTCGAGTCCTCGACTCTTCAACACCACCAAACACACCACAACTCAGCATTTTTGCTTGCTTATAGACAACTTTTTGCAACCCGACATCTGTACAGCACTCTTCACATCACAGTCACCATGTTCACCTCCAAGACCGTCTCCGCGGGCCTTCTGGCCCTGCTGGCCTCCACGGCCTCAGCCCAGACTCACTCCGACTGCAAGCCCACCGAGAAGGACTGCCCTCCCGCGCCCGCTCTGGGCAAGGCCTTGACCATCGACTATGCTAAGGGTGCCGATAAGTCGGGCTTCTTCAAGATGCTCGACGGTACCTCGCTCGAGTACGATGGCAACAAGGGCGCTGTCTTCAAGATCGCCAGTGAGGGCAACGCCCCCACACTCGTCGCCAAAGACTACATCTTCTTCGGCAAGGTCGAGGTTGAGCTTCAGGCCGCCCCCGGCGTTGGCATCGTGACCAGCGTCGTCCTGCAATCTGACGACCTTGATGAGATCGACTGGGTAAGTCGCATAGACTCCGATGCAGAACCAAGCCTCGAGTGACACATTACTGACTGGGTATTCTCTCGATAGGAGTGGGTCGGCGGTGACAACACCCAGGTCCAGACCAACTACTTCTCCAAGGGCGACACCACGACCTACGACCGTGGTGGCAAGCACCCCGTCAACAACCCCGTTGGCTCGTTCCACAAGTACACCATCGACTGGACCAAGGACTACATCAAGTGGATCGTCGACGGCAACGTCGTTCGTGAGCTTAAGTACGCGGACGCCAAGGGCGGCGCCACCTTCCCTCAGACTCCCTGCCAGGTCCGTGTCGGCACCTGGGTCGCCGGTCGCAAGGATGCTTCGCCCGGCACTGTCGAGTGGGCCGGTGGTTTCGCCAATTTCGCCGACGGTCCCTTCAACGGCTACTACAAGTCGATCGCCGTGACCGACTATGCCACTGGCGCCACCTCGTACGTCTACGGTGACCGCTCTGGTACCTACAAGAGCATCGTCGTCAAGAAGGATGGCGACAAGAGCGAGAACAGCAGCAGCTCCAGCAGCTCGTCGTCCAAGCCCTCTAGCACCTCCAGCTCGTCGAGATCCTCGAGCTCCTCCAGCTCTGCCCAGACCACCGGCTCCAACTCGACCACCAGCGCCTCGACCCCCTCGCAGACCGGCTCCAGCTCCAGCGGCTCCAGCTCGGGCGGTGCTTCGGGCACCACTGCCGGCGCGGGCGCTGCCACCAGCCGCGTTGCTGCCCCCAGCTCCGGCTTCGCCACGGTTCCCAACCTGTTCATGGTTGGTGCTGCTGCCGTCCTTGGCTTCCTGGCCCTGTAAACTACTCGGGAAACCAAAGTGTGCGAGTGTGTCTTTGTTAAACGAGCATATCTTATCTGTTCGGAGGCTTCTTCTTCCCTGTATGATTTTCCAGGCTCTGGCACCCGGGCCATCGATGACGGACTTTGTCGATGACGGACCGTAAACACGGCGACTGTCAAGCCCGTGCCTTTTTGCATTTTTTGTCTATACCATGATAGAGCACAATTGATCGGAGTTGTCTTTTTGAGATTCTTGATTCCGTCTGGCCATTCAAATGATGTGTTCTGCAAATCCCATGTCGTCAATGTCCTGCCATGCAATTGACTTTTGAGGCTCTGTAGTGATCGGCCGTGTTTGAGGCGGCCGTGACAAGGGTGTCTCGTGACATTCAAACGGAACAACACAATCCGGGCGAGGTGATTCGACGCTATCCTGGGTTCCAGAAGGAGCTGCTGGGGCAACTGACAAACTAGGGCCAATTGAATGCTTGTCGCCTTTGCAGGCCACCAAGACCACCAACCTTGGTCAACGTTGAGCCAATCGCGCTTGGTCCTTCCCGTCTGACAGATTCAAATCTGTGTAGATCAATCATGCAAGGTGAGGCAACCGGGCAGTCTGCTAATGCACGCGGGTGGAAGGGTGGATGGGAGCCACTTGGGTTCTTAGCCGCCGTGCCACCGAACGGCAATGCCCGCTTGCGGTTGGGGGCGGAGAACGTGATGCTGTGTGTGTGGGTGGAATTAACGTGGTGATGGATGTCGACTGCATTGATCTTCTTGGCGGCCCCCCTCCCCTCTCGCTCGTCCGGTCTTGTTCCCATAAAGACGGCACGGCACGTCTTGATTAAAAATGAGATTTATGCACACACACACACACACACACACACACACGCCTGTCTCCCCGTTCGTGGCACGAAACGGCGAGTTCGGATCGACCACCGTGGTTGGGGGGCGCGCCAAGTTCTCGGATCGCGTCCGGGCGAGGCTGTGGGCTCTTTGGCATGTTCGGACGAGCGGCAGCGGGCGAGGCTAGGTTCGTGCGACCAATTGAATGCCCTCCTTTGGCTATCTTCCATCTCAGTCCAGCTTTGTGGTCTTATTCTAGCTCCATCCGCACTTCACCACGCCTGGGGCTCGAGGGCGTGCAAAACACCGAACTAGGTGGGTTTTCTTGTTGAAAATGCTCTGCTTTGCCATGTTGAGCGCGTGTTCCCCTATCGTGCCAGCTAGGAGTCTGTCAAAAGCGTCTTGGCCAAGAAGAATATCACCGTGCCGGGGATGGTTGGTGACTTTGCGATCCCTGGAGTACCGTACTTATCAACTGTATTCACAATACAAACGTACAGAGGTGTTTCCATTTTCTACCCGTCTTTTCTTTGTATGCAATGCATAGTAGCGGAGCCCCATGCAGCAAGCAGAAAAGGCAGCGCGGACGAACATTTAAGCTAGCAAAGGTAGCTTCTGGCTTGTACACAAAGCGCGTGGCTCTCTGACACTCCCGCGTCAAGATACCTACTCCATAGGTCTTCATTTCTCGTCAAATGATGGTAATCTTCCGCACGATGGTCTTTGTCGGCCCCCAGCACGTAACAACCAGCCCCAATTCTCCGGAAACCTGTAGAGGACCCCGGTCATCGACAGGTTTCAGGAACAAGCCGACTCTACGGTTCCTGGCGTGGTATGGCCCATCGCCCACCTTCATCATCTCCATAGACTAAACACTATTTGGGAGGGCGGCCAGCTGTGTCGGGCCCTTGGAGCTTTGGTTCTGGGCAAGAGTCGTGCTGTCTGGGTGGTATCTGAAACCGGCGTGATCCTCGAGGAACCTCGAATCCACGATACACCCAGACCACGAACTCTCTGGCGCTGGGTTTCTGGCTTTCCCAATTGGGCCCTCGGGCACGGCCAACCCGGCCGCGCCAAGCCCACATCTTCCCACCCAGCACGAAGTCAATGGAAGTAACTGAAGTTGGCCACTTGAGCGACTGGTTGTAGATGACCTGGGTGAGCTCGTAGTCGACTGCAGCTGCCGAGATCGAGGGCCCATGTCCAGGAGGGGCATCTAGTGCTGCTGTGTGAAGAATACGATGACGATGACGGCAAAGCCGGAGGCCGAGGAGGGCTGGGCAGTCTTGTTTACGATGATGAACTCGTGTCCGATGCGAGGTTCGATCGCCTTTGCCAAGCTGAAGATGGCGGGGATCCGGTCGGACTCGAATAAAAGGGTTCTCTGCGTGTACTGTGCCACGAGGTCTTCCCACTCTTTGTATAGGTCTTCCCTTGTGTGGATCACATCGGATCCTAGAGGCTGGGGCAAAGTTACTCTCTTGCTGTGGGCAAACTCGATCTCGACAGGCTTGTCGCGCCCCATAAACTCTTTGTTGGGCGCCTTCTCCGTGGCGAAGAGGGTGCGGCACCCCCAATACACGCAGCCTGGTCCGAACCAGAGGACGCGCTGGCTGAGGAGCTGCTCCTGGAGCGCCCAGCCCCTGCGGTGAATCGTGTGCAGGAAAGCCAAGCTCGGGCGGGTCATGACTCTTCGACAACCACGGCGGCTTGACTGCGAACAGCGGCCAGGTTCAATTGCCGGACCTCACAGCTACCAGGAACAGCACAGGGCTCAGTTGTCTGTGTGCCCACGGGCTAAAGAGGCGCTCGCTTGAGTCCTTGCTAGTCAAGGTGGACATGGTCAAGCTGGCGTTTGGGTAGATGGTGCCCATCTTAGAGGCCTCTGCTTCCCAGTCGCCTGCGTCGTCCTGTATGACGCAAAGGCTGTCCACCCACAAGTACGCAAACCCGAGGCCCCTCGCTGCGGTGATGGAGTCTTGGATTATGGGCGGCAGAGATCCGTATGGTACGTTCTGCTTGTGTTTGTCGAGACTGGCCTTGACTGTCGTTGTGGCCGGGGTGTTATTCCCCTAGTAGTATGAAAGTGCGCAGTAGCGGCCCTTCATCTCACCTTTTAGAGTGGCCTCCATAGGTTGCCGGCTAGGAGGGGTAGCTCCACGTCGGCGCCGTTGTTGAGAGCCCAAGTGGCACGACAAGTGGCAGGAAAATTCGGATTCCAGGAGCGTTGAGGCCTGGTCCCCTCCTTGATGGTTTCATGGAGCACCGCCAGTCCTGACGCGTTGAGCTGCTCTATATCGGCGCCGCGCTGAATCAGACAGTAGGTCACTTTGTATTGCTTGAGGAAGAGTGCGCGATGCAAAGCCGTGTTGATTCAGCGAAGCCCGACGTGCACCAAAACCCTGCTGACACCGCCACCTACCGGACGGAGCGCAGCGAGGGGAGGTAGGCAGGTGGAAGCAGGGTTTTGGTGCGCGGAGGGCGTAGCTGTTCTTTACCGGGGCGATCTGACAGAATTGCTGACAAAGGTTTCTCCTATTCGGGACACAGTTCGCACCTTAAATGGCTCTCGACCAGTCCCCGCACGAGGATCCGACCGTCGTAGCTTACGATTGGTTAACTTTAATCGCTAGACAGTGCGGCGTGTTGGGGGGGTTGGGGTTGTTGTAGTAGCCCTCCGCAGGAGAAAAGCGCTCCGCAGGAGCACCCGGAGGGCCGCCGGAGGCAAAAGGGGGGTCCCAGGGGGTCTCCCCCTGGAAATTACCGGTTAAGCAGTAAAAATCAGTAAAAAATATAAAATTACCGGTTAAGCAGTAAAAATCAGTAAAAAATATAAATTACCGGTTAAGCAGTAAAAATCAGTAAAAAATATAAATTACCGGTTAAGCAGT